AATAGAACTATTAGCATGGATAACTAGACTTTAATATTAGTCTTGTTACATACTATGGAAGTAATGGGATTTTTTAATGATCTATATGATACATTGATGGCAATTTAACAGCAAAGCTTTAAACATTTCAATCGACTCCGAATGATGTATATGCACTGGCAAGATACATCTATAGTAAACCAGAAACAAAAAGATGATTAGTTTTAATTTTACATCATGATAAATCCACCTATAGCCTATAGTATGGCGCCCTATAGTATGCGTGAAAAGTACAAACCTAACATTCAGCAGTTTTTTGCACATTTATATTTTCCTTTGGTAAGTGTAGTGTCACATACTAGCAATGCATTATTTTAGGGATAAGGGTCAGATAGGGCCTCGAACTCGAAAAAAAATGTCAAATAAGGTCATATTTCGGATGCTCTGTCTGGCCGACGCCATTTGGGGCGGTTCCCGATGGAATTTTTTGATACAATTTTTTGAGCATCTTCCTCATTAAGTCTAGTTTACCCATACCAAATTTCAGCTAAAAACTCAACCGGGAAGGTAGTCAAATGAGTTTTTGAAGATAACTGTGAAGTTAAACAACGCCGTACATTTCGGAAAATTATTTGACTACCTTCCCGGTTGAATTTTTAGCTGAAATTTGGTATGGGTAAACTAGACTTAATGAGGAAGATGCTCAAAAAATTTCATCAAAAAATTCCATCGGGAACCGCCCCAAATGGCGTCGGCCAGACAGAGCATCCGAAATATGACCTTATTTGACATTTTTTTTCGAGTTCGAGACCCTATCTGACCCTTATCCCATTATTTTATGAGCTCGCACGCACTTCACTGACTAATAACATACTCCGTATAAGAAAGCCAAGCATCACTGACTAATAGCGTATATAGAAAGTTGAGCATATCAACAACATCAATCTCTTGCAATGAGGCATTTTACCGAACACCTTGCAATCGTTGTTCATTGCCTTTCTCTGGTTCTCGACATTCATCCAAATACTATGAAGAAGTGATATTACCAGAAATAACTTACATGAAATTGCTCTAACGGTTTCTAACAAAGTGGAGTAGCAGTCTTGTATATTGGAATCTTCTGAGACTCGTCGCCGCAGCAGTTCAGGGGAAGGAAGAAGGGCCTGCCGGCCTGGACTTCTGCAAAAACTGTTGGTATCATCTTATAACCAAACAATTATATATATTTTGAATGTTTAAATATTTTTCTACTCCCCAAAATATTAGGGATGACAACGGGGCAGATCGGGGACGGTTTTACATATAACCGTACCCGCCCCGTTTGGTAATTCCCCCGCCCCATAACCGCCCCATTACCCAATGGGTAATTTTTACCCAAATCATAACCGCCCCATCGGGTAACGGGTATAACCGCGGGTAACCGCGGGTAATCACATTATTAAATGAGTCATACATATTTTAATAAAAATAATATTTTAAAATGCGAAAAATGACATCACCTAGACGACGCTAGATTCATACGCTACTTTACAGCTTCATATATCTATAAGACGAGAAAGAAGACAACCTAAATTAATTTGAACCTAAAAATACTTAATCTGAAAAATAATTAATCACAAAAAATCATATAATAATCAAACAAAACTATTAAGTTCTATTGAGAACTTTCATTCTTACACTATAGTTAGTACATCTATTATCCATATGTACACAATGAACATTAAAAATCTCATCTTTTATTAGTCGTGGGACAAATAATAGATAAGAATGTAATAAAAATATAACTAAAAATAAACGGGGCGGGTACGGGGCGGGTAATGGGGCGGGCATGCATAAAACCGTAACCGCCCCGTTACCCGTAAAAACAAAACGGGTATTCCCTGCCCCGTACCCATTACCCGGTCAATGCGGTTTTCCCCATTTTGACCGGGGCGGTTCAGTGCGGGTATGCATCGGATCGGTCACAATTGCCATCTCTACAAAATATAGTACATTTTATTTCATATTCTTACAGAATTATTTATTTATTTTTCACACTTGAATTTATGTTAGTCTTCTTTTTAGTCCATCACTGATTTGTCTATTCTAATATGACTAATATTAGATCTCTGCTTGATTTCGTAATAACCTGACTAATATGTCTATTCTAATTCTATGTCACGCTGAACAAAAAGTATTTTATTTAATTTTTTACAAGTTTATAATACATGTCTTAACATGTGAATAATTATTTTTATATTATTTTAACTCTCATATAAGCCTAAAAAAATATAAAATTTAAACGTTTCTAATAGATCTATGTAACCGACGATAACTTTTTTTTTCTAAGTAGATTGATTTCACAATTAGACATAGACTAAAAACAAAACAATGAATATTAGAGAAATGTAAAACAAAAGAATTTTTTTTGTAGGGATCAAGAAACGAGTGTCATATTTGCAAAAACTAAAAACATATTTAAGCTTATATTAAAATAGAAAAACCATTATATTATTAAATCAGAGCAAGCGTCGTCTGTTCAACGGGTGAAAGTTTATGGGAAAAAATTTATAATGGGCTTAATCTTAAACAATACTATGTGACACGTGTATTGTAAGAACCTTTTATGTCTAAACTAACATGAATAATACTAAGGTGTGAGGACCTTTATAATAAATAAAAGACTAAATTCGTAAAATTAAACCTCTGAGTTCTTGTTTTGAGGGGAACATTCAGGATTTGACTTCTTCATACAAACAAATTTTTCCATTGAATATTTTTTACTTAGCACCGCTTTCTCTAATTTTTTTCCTATTTTTCTTTCTCCCATCTAGATTCAACAATTTTTATTACATCTTAATATTAATAAAATTTATAATTTTAATTATAGGCGAAAAATTTTAATGAACAAAATCATCAAATTATAGAGTTTTTTTTCAAAAATAATGCTAAACAAAAAAATATTTACCAAATTAGAGTGAGGTTAACAAAAAAGTATTTCTCAAAATACCACTAGAACCTCTTAGGTAAAATTAAAAAACCACTCCGTACGTATGTAGCAACGCAGCGCAAGAGAGAGAAATTAAAAACCAGTCTTGTATCCCACAAATAACCTGGTAGACAAATGTATGACTGCATCATTTTCTTGCAGCAGTTTTGAGTAGTAACCGCCTGATTCAGTGCCTTCCCTCCCTACCTCATCAAGTGAGATGGGGTATCTTAGGGTAACAAAGGGCTTCCCTGTCAACATTCGATGTATGAAGGCTTCATTAAGCTTCTGACAAAGTTGTTCTTCAACACCTATGGTCACTTCAATTCCCGCATCAATTAGTCTACCCAACCCTTTTGAAGTCACAATAGGATTTGGGTCCACCATCCCTACAACCACCTTCTTCACTTTGGCCTTGATAAGTGCTTCGGTGCATGGTGGAGTCCTACCATAATGGTTCTAAGCTCACGCATGCAGTTGCACCTTCTTCCATCTCCACGTGCAAAAACCTTAGCATGAGGCTGACCAGCTTTAGGGTGAAACCCTTCACCCACAATGCTTCCATATATCTCTAAAAATAACACAACCAACCATAGGATTAGGTCAGGACATGTGAACCCAACTGCCTTCCTAGCGAGCTCTACACACTTCCTCATGTAAAACCGATCATTATTACCATATTCCCCTTATGAAGTTTCACGTGTAAGTGTGTAACATTTACCAGCACATGACCACACCGATTTCGTGAACTCCTTTGTAATCCAGGTATTTTTCTGAATGAATTGTGATACCCATATTCAGTTCTGACGAACCAACCAAACTTTCTGATTCATTGCAAGGAGCAACAAAATTTGCTGAAGGTGGTAACTTAGTCGGAATAGGACTCTGCATATTGATACTGTGAGCACTTTTGCATGCATTTCGCAGATATATGTACTCTTTTGGGACTACGGCTTGGATGTTGTTGTTACAGATAATATAACTTGGGCTTGCGTAGTCACAACATTTTTAATTCACTTTTCTTGGAGCACTTCCCCAGTTGTTGTTTGAACTGAAGAGGGACACAATCGTGCACCATTTCTAATTCACTTTTCCTTGCTCTATTCTTGTTTTGTTCTTGTTCTATGTTAACACACAACAGTCTTCTTCTTACTCATTTTTCTTTCCATATTTTGTTCTTTTTTTACAGATAAAAATCAGTACTATGCTCCATATCAATACTAATTCATAAAACTACTAATCTTCAACAAATTTGATAAAATTCGATATATTAAAAAAAGTAAAATGAGTATTACGAACTAAAATTTTATGTCCAAGAACGAAGGGCTAGGCTTTGTCCTAGGGTTGGGTGCGGCAGTCTTCAATCTCCGATTGCAAGGCTTCGTCCGCAATCAGTTTCTTTCCGTCCGCAGCAAGGACATAGGCGCAACAGGGATTGATCAACGTTGAGTCTAGGTTCGGCTTGGTGCGGCGATTTGTTTTTTGTGTCGGTATTTGCTTCAGGAGGTGAACGAGTTGTTGTACGAGCCAAATGTCAAACGCGACCATCGATTTAGGTCAAACTTTGGTTTGAACTCTAGTTGTAGGTTGGTGTTTGTTTTGTCCTGCTTGGTTTGGGAGGTTAATTTTGGTGGAAGCGATAAGTCTTGTTTCGCCGTTAAAAGCTTCGAAACTCTCACATGGTTCGCGAATAGTCTCGCTCTTTCCGGGGTGGTCTATTCTAAGTTTAGCGTTATTCATGGGGTCGTAATAATTTTAGATGCTTGATTGAGAAAGTTTGGGTTGATTGTAAGGGGGAAGTATGTTGAGTCGTTGGGATGATATAATCATTTTCCTTTCAAAAAGAAAAGAAAGTAATTGTAAAAATAAAAGGTTGGAAACTAACCTCTGTTGAGAATAGCAGGCAAAGGGAGGTACTAGGAGAAAGCGGCGTGCGGCTTTGGCATCTAGGAGGGCGCGGATAGCGGCGGCGAGCAGCAGCGGCTGAGAGGAACGGCTACGGCTGAAAGGGACGGCTGCGTCTGCTGCGGCTGGAAGTGACGGCGTTCGGCGGCTGAGGCGATGAGGAACGGCGTTCGACGGCTGGGAGCGTTCGTTCAGTACCCGTGGTGTTAACTGAAGAAGGGGAGGCTGGTTGAAGTACTTTATTGCAACCTCCCTAATAAAACTTTCAAGAGAAAACTGTCAAGTCCATGTACTCTTAACAAAAAGTCAATTGAATATATGTACTTTATTTCAACTCAATTAAGTCCATGAACTATCAATAAATGACTGAATCAGATATTTTGTAGGTAGCCAACCGGTTACCCGGTTAACCACCTAAGTGGATGTTGTCATGTTGCTGCTGGCAATTTTCTAGTATTTTCCTTTTTTTGTTTTATTTTTTGTTTTCTTTTTCCTTTTTTTCTCTTTCCTCTTTCTTTTTTTTTTCTCTTTCTTCTCTCTTCCTGTCCGCAGTCTGCTCCTCTTCTCCTTTTCCAGTTCCCAGCTCCCCCATGATCGATTCTTTCTTTCATTTCTTGTCTCCACAACAACTCCAGCCCTTTCTTCCATCGTTGCTGCTCTGCCACTCCCACTCGAACAAACTCCACCGCCTCGGCATCTCTAGCCATCACCTCCGCCGCGGCCCAACCCCCATAGCCACCGGCCCGCCGCCCACCACTGCACCACATCTGAAGTCCGGCCTCCACCTTCACTTCAGCCGCCCCTCCGCTATACACCACCTCCGTCCACAACCTCCATCCCTTTGCCTCCATTGCAATGACCTCCAGCCGCACCAGATTCTATAGCCACCAACTCCGTTGCCCTTGTCACTGCCTCCGGCTTCCACCATCTCTACCTTCGCCTCTTCCATTTAAACGACCTTCAACCGCCCCAACTTTCATGGCCACCACCACCACCTGGATGCTCCATAGATCCGTAATCTGCGCAAGGAGAAGGATATGGGTTGCAGATGGAGGAGAAATAGAAAAAGAAACTGAAAAGAAAAAATAAAAAAAGTGAAAAAAGTAAAAAAAAAAAAAAAATGCCCAGCTGGACGTCCAAGTAGGCAACTCACCGGATAACCGGTTACTTACCCATTAAAAAGCTAATTTGGTTGATTTTTTATAGTTCATAGATTTGATTGACTCGAAAAAAAGTACTTGAACTCAATTGACTTTTTGTTAAAAGTACATGAACTTATTTGACAGTTTTCCTAACTTTCAAATAGGTTGAGCAAGACAGTTATGGGCATTGTGTGGTGTAAAGTTGTTATGTGTAAAAAATGTTGTGAACCACAAATTCTTTACCAAAAAAAAGGAAAATGAAAGTTTTAATTGAGATGGACGAAAAAGGAAAATTTATTTAGAGACGAAGGGAGTAGGTTTTTAGGAGTTATCGTTGCAGTTGCTTGTACCCGCAACAAAAAGTAGTGAGAATAAAAATTTAAGGGAAAAGGTGCAAATAGGCCCATGTACTAACCAAAAAAAGTCAAATAAGCCCTTATTTAGGAGGTTCTGTCCGGCCGGCGTCATTTGGGGTGGTTCCCGGTGGAATTTTTTGATGAATTTTTTTTAGCATCTTATTCATCAAGTCTAGTTTACTCATATCAAATTTCAGCTAAAACTTTAATCGGGAAGGCATTCAAATGAATTCTTGAAGATAACTGTGCTTCTAAGTGTGCAGTTATTTTCAAGAATTCATTTGAATGTCTTCCCGATTGAAGTTTTAGCTGAAATTTGATATGAGTAAACTAGACTTGATGAATAAGATGCTCAAAAAATTTCATCAAAAAATTCCACCGAGAACCAACCCAAATGACACCGGCCGGACAGAACCTCCTAAATAAGGGCTTATTTGACCGTTTTTGGTTAGTACATGGGCCTATTTGCACCTTTTCCCAAAATTTAAATGTCAATTGTTGCGGTTCCGATAGGACCGCAATGGCGCAACGAATAATCTAAAATTTTCGGAACAAATGCTGCGGTTCCCTTTTATCCGTATCAAATACTACTACATTTTAACATTTTGTTGTGGGCGTGCTTATAACTGCAGCAAAAAGGAAGCAACAAATGACAAAAAAAATAGTAGTGATAATCTTAAACAATAATAGGTGACACGTGTATTGTAAGAACCTCTTATGTCTAAACTGACATGAATAATACTCCTCCGTCCCATTGGACTTTGCCAATTTTCTCTTTTTGGTTGTCCAAAAAAACTTTGCCACTTTTCTATTAAAACAACTAATTTGTGGTTCTGCATATTTCTCTCTCCTCTGCACAAATCTCAAACACACAGTTTTTACTATTCTTATTTCTCACCTACTTTGCATTTGGCAAAGTCCATCAAGACGGAGGTAGTACTAAAGTGTGAGAACCTTTATAGTAAATACTCACTCCGGTTCTTTTTTTACTTCACACTTTGACTTCACACAAATTAAGGAAATAAATTTGACTTTACTATAGACTACACTGTTTGACATTGTTTAGCACTGTTTTGACGTAGATTTCTTTGCCAAATAAGGAAGTGTGAAGTTTATTTTGGACCTGCCCAAAAAGGAAAGTGTGAAGTTTATTTAGAACCGGATGGAGTAAAAGACTAAATTCGTAAAATTAAATCTCTGGGTTCTCTTTTTGAGGGGAACATTTATGATTTGACTTCTTCATACAAACAAATTTTTCCATTGAACATTTTTTATTTAGTGCCGCTTTCTCTAATTTTTTCCTATTTTTTCTTTCTCCCATCCAGATTCAACAATTTTTATTACGTTTTGAAATTAATAAAATTTATAATTTTAATTATAAGTGAAAATTTTTAACGAAGAAAATCATCAAATGATGGAGTTTTTTTTACCAAAAAAAATATTTACCAAATTAGAGTGTGATTAACAAAAAAATATTTCCCAAAATACCTCTACAACCTCTACATATGAAAACCGCAACACGATTGGCGGCTTAGGCAAAATTAAAAAACCACTCCGTATGTAGCAAACTAGCAACGCAGCGCACAAGAGAGAAAAATCAGTCTTGAATCCCACAAATAAAAAAATCCCTTGTTTTTTAAGTGTTAACTGTTAAGAGTATAATGTGTTTATCTGTGTTCTGATTGTTAGAAAAAAATATCAAAACTTATACTCCGTATATTTTTTTATATCTTTTAGGGAAAGTTCCCGAAATAGGACTAAAAAAGTTTGAAAATTCCAAAATAAGACTGTCATGTTTTTATTCCCAAAATAGGACTAATTACTGCCAAGTTTGGAAAGTACTGCCATGTTTGAAGTCTGGTACTGCAAAAACATGACAGTAATTAGTCCTATTTTGGAAATAAAAACATGAAAGTCCTATTTTGGAATTTTCAAACTTTTTTAGTCCTATTTCGGGTAATATCTCTATCTTTTATATGACACAAATATTGAGTATTTAAAAATAATAATAAAAATTAGGCACTTTACAAAATTATGTTTTTTAGATTGCTATAAATTTTTTATTTGTACTCCAATTGTCAGAAAAAATATGTCAAAATTTATATCCTTTTATTATCTTTTATATGACACCAATATTACATATATAAAAATTACATTTAAAAAAGAATTAACACTTTAAAAAACCTCATGTTTTAAAGTGTTACTGAACTTTCTATGGCAGTTTTTTTGGATGAAAGCGGCTTACATATAAATTAAACTATTTGGAGAGTAGGTAAAAAGACAAAGTAACTTGAGAGAATCGCCGTCTCACGAACCCGAGTCGGATTTAATCAGCTCAGTAATATAACTCGTTGATCCAAAATTGGGCACAACTAAGTCAGTGACGGTAATCACAGTTAAATCATCACCCGCATTCAAATCCATAATCATCGTTTTACAACCAAAAAGCAAGCTAAAAAACCAACAAGAAAGTAAAGAACAGTCTGAAGCAAAAAGAAAAAAGCGAAAAAAGATAAGATGACTGGATCCACTAATCAGAACAATGCAGCACCAATCGGACCCCTCCTGCCTCTTTCCTGCCCATGACAAGCTTACCCCTCTAAGCCCGTCTCCTCTCCATTTTTTGTTCCATCCAGAGCCATCTCATCCCCTCCTTGGTTTTGAGTTGTCCCTATTTCCCAAATACGCCAATGTTTCTCTTCAGAAGGTTCTTCATTATGTTTCAGAACCACTTCCTTATTAGAGTCACTACCCGAGTCCACCGAATCCTCCTTTTCCCCTTGTGCTCTTCCAACCGACCCCTGCTCCTCCCATCCCTGCGAATTCCTGCCCGAAGACGAGCCCTCCCCAATCAACCATTTATTTTTTTCCTGTAGGGCTGGTCTTCACCCCACCTCCTACCCTTAGTAACGCATCAAATCTTTTTTTCCAGGACTAAACCTTTCTCATACATTAGCGGGCATAATTTCTCATAGTGCCCAATAACTCCGCAGACAAAACAAAAGTTAGGTAGCTTCTTATACTAAAAATCCACCCAATATCCAACATCCTCTTTTTTCAGAGTTGTGCCCTTTTTCAGAGGAGTTTCCACATTAATACATGCTCTAACACGCAGATAAGACTTCCACTGTTCCCCATAAGTATATTTTATCATAGCTAACAAACCTACCAAGAAAATTACCCATTTTTCTAGCAGTTCCTAAATTCAGCAGATAATAGGTAACATTATGAACCCGCACCAGAATTATGCTTCATTCAGATAAATCTAATGTGGAATATCAGTAGGGTTTATTTCTTTCATAATCAGTAAATTTCTCTCAAACTGCCAAGGACCCCCATCAATCACACGTTTCATATCAACATGATGATTAAAGTTAAAAAATATACCTCTTTTACTCGATCTCCTTGATCTCCACGCCCCTTCCCGGCCTCCAAATCGACGCCATTGTCTCCCTGAATGCTGGAAAGTTAATCTTCCTATCCGTGATTAGCGCGCCCACCACCGGGAAGGCCGGCCGCTCCACCTACCTGGATTCGTCCTCGACTTCAACATCATCACAAACCAATTCCACTTCCTTGTCTGCCACGCTCATCTTCCGATATCGGTTAGCAATGGTCTCCATCCAACAAACCCCGCCTTTAAGAAAAACCCGACCTCTAACCCTGCCTTCGAGCAAAACACCTCGGTCTCCCCGGTCTCAAGTCCTCTGCAACTCCTATCCCGAAGCCCGATCCGCCACACTAATACGCCCTCCTGACACCGTCTTCCCCAATCGCAACCTTAATCCAAACGGAAGCCACCGAACCTCGACGAATCCGCCGAGATCAGACCAAAAGACTAGCGGCACTGATGCCCTAGAGAGAGAACCTCTAACTTTTTATTATCTTTTATATAACACAAATATTAAATACTACCTCCGTCCCAGAATTATCTTCATAGTTCGGTTTACGATGTTTGACTGACGATAAAGCAACTTGATCCCTGTTCACACTCGAATTATTTTTAGTAAATAAAATTTACATATTCAGAAACTACATTAAAACCGCTACAAAGCCTGATTAAGAAAATTTGAATTTGATAAAAATTTGATATATAAAGTAAAAGATTAAGAGTAATTTGAGTTGACCATGTGAATAGTAACTATGAAGATAATTTTGGGACGGAGGGAGTATATATTTCTATGTCAGGTTATGATAACAATTTTAGTATTCTTCCTGATTATATTGTAACCCGTCTGGCAAACGATTTGTTTAATTAATGAAAAGCTATATTTTTACAAAAAAAAAAAATGTTACTCTATATAACTTTTTAAATTATACTCGGATTGTTACAAATAATATATCTAAATTCATATAATGTTTAGTATCTTTCATATGACATCAACATTGCATATATAAAAATAAAAAATAAAATGTATTAAAATATATTAATCTGTTTAAGAATATACCAGACCGGTATTAAAGTATTAAACAAATCAGACCAAACAGGCCAAACCTTTAACATAAACTTACCAGATTAGATAAACGTTTGGTCTGTTTTGTCTGATTTGTTTAAATTTGATCCGATCAATTCTTAAACAACCCAAACATTGGCTTTGTGGGAGAAAAGAGTTTTACTATCACTTTCTAGGCTATCACTTTCATTTACGAGTACTGTTTTATTCTTTGAACTAGAATTTATGCACTTTTGCACTTTTGTTCTTAGCTATCACTCCAAATTAATAGTGTGCACGATAAAAATCGATTCTAACCTACAGAAATTAATGAATTTTTATATGTGCAAAATTGATGTCATATAAAAGGTAATAAATATGAATTTTGAAAAACAAAATTTTTTTAAGTACTAATGTTTTTCTTCATATTTGCAATATTGGTTAATGTGAAAAATAATAAGAAGTTAAAAACTTTTATATATTTTTTTGTAACAATCAGAGTACAAATGAAAATGTTATAACACTTTAAAAACATAATTTTTTTAAAGTGCTAAATTATTTTTCGATTTTTATATATATAATATTGATGTTGTATGAAACATAATAAAAAGTTATAAATTTTAATACGGAGTAATATTTTTTGTAATAGTAGGAGTACAAATAAAAAAATTATAACACTTTAAAAAACAACTATACCACCACAAGGTCCACAAAGTGTCAAGAAGAGGAAAAGTGTGAGTTTATATTAAAAAGGGAAAATAACTTTAAATAATAAATAAATAAATAATAATACATACTTTCAAAATGATTTCTAATAATACCAAGTATTTGAATATATATAACAAAAATAATATGGAACTACTTTTAAGAAATTCAATCATTTATGACATCAAAAAATGATATCAAACCATCCAATAAATGATGTTTTTAGTAGAGGTCAACACAGACTGTTAACTTTAAGGGCGTAAGGCCATGGTCAGGAGACTCAGGACTCTGAACACTTGTGATGATTAAAATAAAAAACTTCTGAAAAGAGAAGTTTGTACAAGACCTGATTGAGGCCTCTATCTATACACCTTATGTGGTACAGAAGAAAATAAAATAAAGAAGAAAACCCTACACAAGCCATCAGCTGTTAAGTAACTACTAGTGTGATGAGTTACAGCTACAGAGGAAGTAAGGAAATGTGTACACATATTCTGATGATTATAACCGTTGCTCTCTCCATATCCGACCGGCAACCTTCAGCTTCAGCTCCTTCCTATCTCCACCAGAGAAAAAGAGGGCCATGCTTCTCTGAATTATCAGCCCATCAAACCTTTCCCGTACAGTTTTATGGCTTTCGCGTATGCTCCTTGGCACACCTTGCCATGTTAATTTTCTTCCGGGGCCACCAACTTCAAGGCTATAGCTGAACTTCCTTGCATCCTCCTCGTCACCCATGAAACGGAGGAATGCCATGTATACAGGTGATATTCCTATGTTGAACGCCTCAAAGTGCAAGCAGAATTGGTGACCGAAACAGTTGAAGACCTGTTTTTTGTTCCATATGAATAAATGAATCACAAATATTTTGAAAAACATCCAAAATTTCCATATTCGTATTGGAACTCTCCCGTTGTATTCCAATTATTGAATGTGAATGTTGTAACAAAACTGGGAGCTGGCTAGGCGGCAAACTGGGATCTGGAGCCTATTTAGGATCTATTAGGGTTAGGTGATACTTATTTTTTAAAATTAATTCTACATGTAGATTGCTGGAAATAAAGTGAAAATAAGAAACTAAATAGAAAAAAATTATCTTAACACACATATAGTTGTTGTCTAGCCTAAAACTCACGAATAGAGATAAACTAGTACGATGAAAATAAGTTATCCCCTCCCATTCCCTCTGAAATCTCCGAACCAAACAAGCCCTAAATGAAATTACTATCTACTACACAGGACCCAAAATTGGTGTTGTATTCATTATATGGGACCCAAAACGGTCATGTAGCTAGTTTCACTCTCCCCCGAAATTCATTATTTTTGGCCAATTTGAGGACTTTCAGTAAACAAAATCACCTTTTATATAACTCATTCCCTAATGTAGTCTTTTTCAATGAAATTGGACTTATGAGGAAATGTACAAATAGGTAAATTTTATGCTTAAAATGTCCTACTTAACAATAAGAAACAACAAGTAACAAAAAAATCCGGAAAGGGCCAAATTGAGGAACACAGGATCCACACGATGAACTATTGTGTATGGATTTTTTTTGTCAAGAGGTCCTCACACTGGGGAAACCTAAATGATTACAAGACTAAATACGAGAAGGATCCTAGATTCCGAATCACAGGGCATTTTTAGTTTCATGAGAACAAATATGCAGTTTCTAATAGAGAATGAGGAAGAGAGAGAAGGGGAGGACTTACTGTAAACATCCATGTGGCATTTTCAACATCTTGAGGATTGGTTTTGACATATCTGTGTTTGAAGGTACAGCCGTCGTGCATGTCAACCGAGTGGTCATTTTTAAGGTGTGTTACAAGGAACTGAATATCTCCCATAACAGGACAATCAGAGCCTGCATAAGGACAGTTATAATGGCGGAACTTGCAGTTCTGCTGATGCTTCAGCCTGCTATGGTAAGGAAATATATCTTGACAACCAAACATCTGATATTTACAAGGCAGTTCCAGTGATACCGCAATTTTCTCTAACGCCAAACACCTAATGTTTCCAATATCATGGCGGCATATAGGGCACAATTGTACCTTTGACCTGCACTTTTGGCATAATGTATGGCCATTGGGACACTACAACAACATACAATAATCAAATTAAAACTTGAATCCATCCTTATACAAAACCAAGAAATGCATTAATTATTATCACATGGATTTAATATCTTACAACAAGAGATATGTTACAAGTACAACAATTCGGAAGAAAAAGTGGGGTGCAGAATATCAACTCTGGGGTGCAACTTTTAATGATTTCATAAATGGGGTGCAAACTGAAATTTGGGTGAAAAAGTGAGGTGTGAATTCCAATTCCCCTCACAAAAATTGGTACATGTAATGTGAGGACTCGTGGAATATCCTGCTTTTCAACACATCACGTCATTTATTATCAAGGGCAGTCAAATGTGAATCTAGACTTTTTGGAAATACTTCTGTAAGTGCTTCTGTACTCATAGCATGTAGTTCTATATTAGTTCCTCTCCCCTAACATAGATAGCAAACAAGGAAACATATGTTTTAAAATTTCTAAGATCATAAGTTATATCTCTATTTCTAATAATCTAATAATTCTATATATGGGTGCTAGGCTTCCTTTGAACACAGTAGTTTTATTTTTGAGTAGAGAAATAGTGTCTCTCTAAGAGCCTATGCTCCTATTGAACCTACCTCTAGCCCCTAGGAACTAGGCCTCAAGCTGCTGCCAGGCTAGCGTATTTAAAACACCGCTTCACAGCAAAAGTATTCAACTACGCAAGGGCCAAAATGAATTGTGAAGGACTTCAGGGAATGCTATGGACTTGACGAAAGTACCCTTTAAGTGAGGGTATGGAGCAACCTTGTTATTGACCTGTTCAAGGGCTGAGATTACTGTCGCCGCCAGAAGGCCACCGAGTTATCAGCCCAGGTCTTCATGAAGCGTTGTCCAAGTAATGTGTTATTTCTTTTGATAAGTATTCCTAATTGTTGTTAGTCTTTTATTTAAATGAGATGTAGTATTATTTCTTTCTTTCCTTTAGGGCTTTAGGCTATGTTTGAATCCTGCAAAGTCCTAGTAATGCAAAGGAAGTTGGTTTTAATGTTTGGAATTATCTCAGTGTAGGTTTTGGGAATAAAATTCCTTGATTGAATATGCCAATCGGCTGGGGTATAAATACAGGATGTACAAGTAACAAACTACCAGAGTAGATCCTATTTTTTAGGATCTGACCAACTACAATCTTATCAATAAGCAACAACTTCTAATCTGATCTAATAGACCAGTCTTCTAATCTAATCTATCCGGTAATTATGTACACACAATAATTAAGAAATAAATGTAACATTTTCTACACTCCCCCTCAAGTTGGTGAATATATATCATACATTCCCAACTTGTCTATAAGTAGTTCAAACACTGGTTTAAATAACCCTTTGGTGAAGATATCAGTTGTTTGGTCTTTAGTGGATACGAATGGTGTGCAAACAATTCCAACTTCAATCTTCTCTTTAATGAAATGTCTGTCCACTTCAATGTGCTTGGTTCTATCATGTAGCACAGGATTATGAGCAATGCTAATGGCTGCTTTATTATCACAATACAGTCTCATAGGCAGTTCTATTTCCATCTTCAGTTCTGTAATTACTCTCTTGATCCAGAGTAATTCACATATTCCATTTGCCATAGATCTAAATTCTGATTCTGCACTACTTCTAGCAACTACATTTTGTTTCCTACTTCTCCAAGTTACTAGATTTCCCCATACATAAGTGCAATATCCAGAAGTAGACCTTCTATCAGTAATTGAGCCAGCATAATCTGCATCAGTAAAGGCTTCAACCCTCTTACTGTTCTCCTTTTTGAAAAACAGTCCTTTCCCTGGACAGCTCTTCAGGTACCTTAGAATCCTGTAAGTAGCATCAAGATGTTCTTGGAAAGGATGATGCATAAACTGACTCACCATACTTACTGCAAATGCAATATCTGGCCTTGTATGTGCCAGATATATTAATCTTCCCACCAGTCTTTGATATTGGTGAATATCAACCGGAGTTCCTTCCTTAACATCTCCCAACTTCTGACTGGGGTCAATTGGGGTGTCTGCTGGTTTGCATGCACTCATTCCAGTTTCCTGCAGAAGATCTAAGATATACTTTCTTTGTGAGGCAACAATACCCTTCTTTGATCTAGCTATCTCCATTCCCAGAAAGTATTTTAGGTCTCCTAGGTCCTTAACTTCAAATTCATGGGCAAGTTTTTCTTTCAAGTTCTTAGTCTCTGTATGATAATTTCCTGTGAGGATAATATCATCTACATAGACAATTAATATTGCAATCTCCCCCTTGCCTGAAAACTTCATGAAGAGTGTATGATCTGCTTGAGCCTGATTAAACCCTTGCTTCTTTATGAACTTTGTAAACCTATCAAACCAAGCTCTTGGTGACTGTTTAAGTCCATACAAGGCTTTCTCTAATTTGCAAACCTTTGAACCAAATTTATTCTCAAATCCAGGAGGAGGTTTCATATATACTTCTTCTTCAAGTTTTCCATTTAAAAAAGCATTCTTTACATCCAATTGTTGCAGTGGCCAGTCCAAATTAGCAGCAAGAGATAAAAGGATTCTTACAGTGTTCAACTTTGCAACTGGTGCAAAGGTTTCTGTGTAGTCAATGCCATAGGTCTGTGTGTACCCCTTAGCTACTAACCTTGCTTTATATCTATCCAAACTTCCATCTGCTTTAAATTTAGGAGTGAAAATCCACCTGCACCCAACTGTTGGTTTGCTTTTGGGCAACTCTACAAGCTTCCATGTCTGATTCTTTTCAAGAGCTTCCATCTCCTCCAAAACAGCTTTCTTCCACTCAGGTTTAGATCAGTGATGTTAATAGCGGCGCTATAGCGCGCTATAGCGGTTTAGCGGAGCGGCAGACATGGAAGGCGCTACCGGGAGGGCTGTAGCGTGGCGTTTGGGTGTAGCGGCTATAGCGCCCGCTATAGCGTTGGTGCGGAGAAGGTTTTCGCGGCCGCTATAGCGGCGAGATTTGTGGTAAAAGGGATGCGAGGGTTTTTTGCGTTAAAATTTTTTAGCGCAGAGGTATAGAAGGGGTAAACTAGACTTTTAAAACAAAATATTAACTACTTAAAACCCTTACACGTACGTAAAAACTCACGAATCCAATTTTTGGCGTTTTTTTATGCTCTGCGATGCTTTCTTCTCCAAGAAAGCCCTGTTTCTGCTCTGCGATTGGTTCTTCTCCAACAACTACACGTGCTGTCCTCCTCTTCCTTCATTCTTCTCAGTAGTTTTTTCTGCTGCAACATCTTCTTCTCCAACTTTTGCTGCAGACCTGCAGTGAGTCTTCTTTTCTTCTTATTATCTCGTATGGAGTCTACTGCCATGTTTAAGCCCACATGAAAACACCTTGACCCAGCTTGGAAGGGGAACCGTTTGACTGTTAATATATCAAGGCTTAAACTCTTAAACTAAAACCTTATTTTTGATTCAATGTTTTGACTTAAGATGTTTTAATCATTAATAACATCTTTTGAATGCTAAGATGTTTGCAACTTCATTGACAAATATCATACTTTTTGAACTCAATATGTGTATGTGATGTATTATATATGCTTCTAGCAGTTACTTATTTATTATATTTGAAGTAGCCTAAATAGCGGTCATCCCGCTATCCGCTATACCGCTATAGCATTTTGGGGGCTGGCCGCTCCGCTCCGCTATCTGGGATTGACAACACTGGTTTAGATAGAGCATCCTGTATAGTTGAGGGAATAGAAATAGAAGAAACACTGGAAGTAAAGGTTGCAAAAGATGAGGATAATTTAGAATAAGAAACATGGTTTGAGATAGGGTATTTAACACATGTTCTTTTTTCTTTTCTGAGGGAAATTGGAAGATCAAGGTGACTGGAAGCATTACCTTTTTCATTCTCTGGCATAGGGTCAGAATCATAGACAGTTGTAGGTTCTTGGACTTCCTCTATTCTTTGATTTTGAACTCTTCTCTCATAAACTTTGCCAAAGAATTGACTTGTCTGTTGATCCTTTCCAATTGGTTCAGTTGTATTTATTTCATTAGTTGTTAATTCTTGATCATTTTCAGATATTCTTCCATTAAAGGAATGATCATCCAGATTAATATCAAGAAAATTAAGGTTTTCATGAATATGTGGCACTATTTGAACATCTTCACTTAATCTCTCCCCCTGAAGATGAGTATAAAAAAAAACTTTATCTTCCGCAAAAAAAGTGTCCATTGCAATAAACATTTTTTTGGTAGCAGGGTCAAAACATTTATACCCTTTTTGAGTGGAAGAAACACCTAAAAAAACACATTTTGTTCCTCTAGGATCGAACTTACTTGTAGATTTTTCTGGATTTTTTTACAAACACTGTGCAACCAAAAATTTTCAGTGGAAGAGTACTTATCAATCTGTTTCAAGGAAAGTACTGCTGAAGAGTTTTGATAGGACTTTTAAATCCTAAAATTTTTTATGGCATGCGGTTAATTAAATAAGTAGCATGTAAAACAGCTTCCCCCCACAGATATTTTGGTATTTTTGTTGAAAACATGATTGCACGAGTGACTTCAAGTAAATGTCTATTCTTCCTTTCTGCAATTCCATTCTGGGCTGGTGTATTGACACAAGAGCTTTGATGGATTATTCCTTTTTCAGTAAAAAAGTTATTTAGGTTTTGAGAAAAATATTCCAGGCCATTATCACTTCTTACCAGTTTAATGTTGGTATTGAATTGACTTTGGACCATAGCATAAAAATCCCTAAATACCTTTTCCACTTCAGATTTTTCTTTGATTAGAAAAACCCATGTAACTCTTGTATGATCATCAATAATAGTTACAAACCATCTCTTTCCCTTTATAGTTGATACTCTAGATGGACCCCAAATATTACTATGTACCAAAGTAAAAGGGCTAGTGGGTTTATAACTCTGGGGAATATAAGAGCTTTTGTGATGTTTTGCAAGTGCACATATATCACAATGAAACACAGAGACATCTTTATTCAGAAATAATTGAGGAAACATCTTTTTTAAATAATAAAAACTAGGATGTCCTAGTCTAAAGTGAAGTAAATACAACTCTTTATTGTTTAAAAAGGAAACAGTTTGCAAACAAGCATTTCTTTGACCTCTTTTATTTGATTGAGTTCCTTCATCAAAGATATAGAGTCCATCTTCCTCCCTAGCACTGCCAATCATCTTCCCCGATGCCAGGTCCTGAAAAATGCAATAAGAAGGATAAAAGATAACACGACATTGTAAGTCTTTAGTTAACTGGCTAACAGAGGCAAGATTGCAGGATAAATTAGGGACATGTAGGACTTTAGAGAGGTTTACAGATGAGGAAATTTTAATATTTCCCATCCCTGCAATGGCTGAAAAAGAGCCATCTGCCACTTTGACCTTTTTGTCCCCTGCACAGGGCTTATATGAAAAGAAAAGATTTGGAATAGAAGTCATATGGTCTGTAGCTCCTGAGTCAATGACCCAGGTACTTTTAGGTTTTCCAGAACAGAACAATGATGAAATGGTACCATTCTGGGCATAAGAACAAGAAGAAGTTTCAGGTTTGGAATTTTTCTGAGTATTTAGAAGGCTAAGGAGTTGCTCTATCTGTTCCTTTGTGAAGGAGGGCTGCTAGGAATTGATTTGTGGCTCCTGTTGAGTCTCAGGTATGGCAGTATGTAGGACCCTTTCAACCTTTTTCTGTCCTGCTCCGGGTGGTTTGCCATGAATCTTCCAACAGGTTTCCCGAGTGTGCCATAGCTTCTTGCAATGATCACACCAAGGCTTCTTCTTCTCATTTCCTTTGGCAATCATTGCTGAGGACTCTCCTGGTTCATCATGATGTACTGGAGTGTTATTCATGACCTTTTTCTTACTATCTTCCACCCTGATTTCAGAAAATACCTCCCTGATTGAAGGTAGAGGTTTTTTTCCAAGAATTCTTCCCTTGACTTCATCCAGGTCTCTATTAATTCCTGCTAGGAACATATAGACCCTATCATTTTCCTCCCTCCTCTTGTGTCTTGCCAGATCCTTGGCACTCTCCCATTCTTCAGCATCATAGCATTGATCCAACTCTTGCCATAGGGATACCATCTCATTATAGTATGAGATGACATCTCTACTTCCTTGTTTGGACTGCCACAACTTTGTTTTTAATTCATAAATCTGAGAAGAGTTCTCAAGATCTGAATAGGTTTCTTTAATGGAATCCCATACCTCTTTTGCAGTTTTCATAAACATATGAGGTTTGGCGATTGATGCATCCATTGAACTGAGAAGCCATGCTGTAACAAGTGAGTTTTCTGACCTCCAGACACTGTAGCCATCTTCACCATTTTTTTTCTCTTTGATTTCACCAGTTAGGTATCCCAGTTTGCCCTTGCCATCAATTGCTAACTTGACAGACTGTGACCACTCTAGGTAATTCCTTACATTCAATCTATGCCCAGTGATGAGCATAGATGAATTAACCGAGGCCTGATAGTTTGCCATTGAGCTAATATGGGAGTTAGGGTTACTGGTTTGTGAATAAGGAGATGAGTCAGAGTGTTCGAATTCCACCATTTGAGATGTGTAAATTCAAGGCTCTGATACCATGTAGGTTTTGGGAATAAAATTCCTTGATTGAATATGCCAATCGGCTGGGGTATAAATACAGGATGTACAAGTAACAAACTACCAGAGTAGATCCTATTTTTTAGGATCTGACCAACTACAATCTTATCTATAAGCAACAACTTCTAATCTGATCTAATAGACCAATCTTCTAATCTAATCTATCCGGTAATTATGTACACACAATAATTAAGAAATAAATGTAACATTTTCTACACTCAGAAAATGCAAAAGAAAATAAGATATAATTAATGTTTTTAAAATTTCTTTATATATGTTTATGCTGCTTACTCCCTCCGTCCCCAATTAAATGTCCCATTTTACCATATTGGGATGTCCCTATTTAAATGTCTCATACCTCATTTGGTAAAGTTTGTGTGGCTCAAAATCATTCTTACTTTATTCTTACTTTATTCCTACTTTATCAATTAATATCAACCACACAAACCCACTTTTCTTAAAACTCGTGCCACCCTCTTCCGGGACTTTTAAAAGGGGACGGAGGGAGTAGTATTTATATAATGCATATGAAAAATAAATAAATAAATAAATAAAATTTCCTTCCAAGTTTATTCCGATTTTTTCTCTATATTTCCGTTGCCTAGCATTTCCATTATTTGCAATGGAGCCAAAGACCACTATTTTTTGGCTTGGGAATATGATGGAATAAAGCAAAATGGCTCACTAAACTGTCTGCGCTTCTTTGTTATGAAGCAGCAGTCAGTCCATACTCCATTCAATTTTCGACACGATTTTCACTATGGGTCATCCGGAAACAGTCTCTTTGTGCTTCAGTACAAGGGTAAGACTGCGTACATCCGACCCCCCTTACCCCACCGAAGGTGGGAGCCTTTGCGGCATTGGGGTATTGTTGATGATTATGATGATAATTTCCGTTGCCTAGCATTTTCTGCTTTCCAAAGGGGCCCTACAGTGATTGGAACTCGTGTGTTTTGCCTATATAAGGCTTATTAGTGCGATGTGAAACTATCTTCAGAGTAATAACTAAATCATTCATATGGCAGAGCCTGCATTGCCCTTTGCTCGAAAGTTTCTTCATATTTCTCATCTAAGACCTTGATTGTTGGGTGTTAATATAGCTAGACTACACCTTTTGTAGTGGTCATATTGGTGACTGGCATTTCGGAAACCCTTTCTGCCCGTCTTGCTCAAAAGTGAAAATCCACACACAATCTAGTCTTTAATATACTTAAAAAACGACCCACTCATCATATCGAAGAGAATACTCCCTACACCTTTGAATTAAGTTCCTGGTTTGAGTTTACAAGTTTTTTAAGCAAAACATTATGGTATTTAATTTCTAGATAAGCCCATTGATTAAAGATTAGTGGGGAAGAACCTGCCTGGTTAATAGGTGGGTACATCATATCCAAACAAACAGGGCACTCCAGTAGTTCATGAACCGCACTATTGGATCCGATTCCATTCTTCCCACTAGCAACAGCTGCAGACTTTCTAAGAGGAGAGGAGCCTTTAAATCCAGAAGTTTCAGGGGCAATACCGTAATCCCCATATGAATGACAGGGAATTACAGTTTCCTGGTAGTTCTTGCCTCCAGGAGCCATTTAATAAACAGACAGCTTTGTGCTTCTTTGTCCAATCTAATAATCAAGAAGTTGTTACCCTATCAAACACAAAATTGAGAAGATATATTATGACACAAGTAAAATCATTCCTAGTTGGTGATACAATATGTTCCATACCCATCCTTTAACCACAAAAACTGTCTCTTGCAAATGTGGAGTCAAAAAAGATTAGCATATTATTTTTTTAGGTTGAGAATTTTACACTACACTCTATAGAAGCTGAGATTTCTTTAGAAATTGTACTCCCACCTCCATAAAAATGTAGGGTGCTCTACTTCTATTATTATTTATTAAATCTTTAATTATGTAGTCATTATTTAGATATAGAAAATGCAGTTTTTATCCAGATTACCTGAAACAGAAAGATCAGTTATGTTGATTCATAAGATTCCTCAGATAATCAGATATCAGTGTTCCTTGAGAGAATGTAAAAATGGAATCTTCCATTATAGCAAACATGGTGGTATGATTCCTCATATCACAATGGAATCATTGTGTGATGCTAAAATCAAACAAGTCAGGAAAATAAAAAAAATGAAACTAATTCTATTAATCACAATGAAATCATTGTTTGATTCTGAAATCTTATAATCACATCTAAAAGTGATTATAAGATCAACAGAGGCTAAGTTTTTTTTGTCAACCATGAGTCCATGATCAGCAAAAACAGAAAAGTCAACAATCAAAATTTTAAACCAGAATCTCCTATTTCAATAACCCTTTGCCCCAGTTCTTTTCTGTTTCATATTTCCAAAAGTCCAATAAAAATTTAACTTTTGTCCAAATAAATTCAAAAGCGTCCCTGATTGCACAAACAAATTCCCACCATTCCCTCCAAACATGTGATCATTTCCCCAAGAACTTTGAAGAAAACCCAAAAATCAACCTGAGATTCTGAGAGAGGAAAGTTGCCAGATCAGCGCCAGAAAATAGCCACAAAAATTGGACTTATGGATGGAAAGAAAGTGAGAGAAGAAGAGTAATGGAGACTTTTCAAAACGACAGTGGGAAAATGGGATAAAAGAAAAGTTCGAATGAGAAATTGAGAACAGGGAAATCCAAAGACGAGGTATTGTCTTTTTCTTTTCCTATTTTTTAAAGAAAAAAGAATTGAGAAAAGCGAATGCTTCATAAGTAAGCATCTGTGCGAATTACGACATTCCTCCCAGGGCATAGCCGCCGCTACATTATTTCAGATTTGGATCTTTCTTGATAGAAGTTCGGTCAGTATTTCCCTAGCGAGATCTTTCGCGTAGGGTTTTTAATTCGCCGCCCTGGTACGACGTTTCTTTCAATCGACGCAGTTCTGTGCCGAATTGTCGTGGTTTGGACGTAGTTCGGGATGGATGATCGTGACAGTGAGAAGATGGTGGAAGAAGCGAGAGAGATACATAGGGATGATTGGGACATGGTTAGCATGGAGAGGCTGAACGCTCCATTCGATGGCATGAATTTGGGTCATACGGCGGGTACGCCACTGAAAGGGGTATCAATCGAGCGACGGTCCGACCTCCGCCTGAACCACCATCATGAGTTGTACAAGGTGCTAGAATCCGTGAAAGTTTTCTTAGTAATGTTTATCTGTTTGTCATTTATTTTCTTGTGTTCATTTTTGTTGTTGGTTTTGACAATTTGTTTGAGTTTTTAAGCTCTCTTTATGTCATTGGGTATGGTTGGATCTATAGGAACATGTTTGGCTGTGTTAAGCCCACTACATGGTTAGCGATTCGTGTTGCTCTTTCAGGGGTGGCCATCTCAAAGTCTCACTATAGGGTTACAGTCGTAGTTGTTGGAGTTTTAGTGGGTGTCAGTTTTATTTTCCCTTTGCTTGATGTAACGATCCTAAATCTTTTGATATGAATAAAGGTCTGTTTTGATGATCAAAAAAAGAAAAGAGAATTGATGGAGAGGAAGCAATAATTGGGTTCTGATTGAATTGACGAATAAGGCACAACTTATATTGGAAATCTCTTGAGGTTTGCTAGCTTGATGTAATCTAACTTGCACTGTTCGTTGTTTTCGATTGATTAGTAAAACAAATTTCTCCCAAGGAGACTAATAGCTTGAGTATCACACTATCACTAATAGATACGGTAAAAGCATCAACTAGATTATTGCCTTTTTCAACTAGCTCGTAGGAAAGAGGTGGTTTTAAAATATTAAATGATTTTCTCCGCTTCTATAAATTAAAGTAGCAAAAGCATGTCACTTTAATTTCTTTTTTGACATTCATTTGCAAATCAGCCCTTATATAAGAGCTTCTATCTAGCCGTCGTCATTTGGGGAGATTCTCTGTGTAATTTTTCGATAACGTTTTTTGAGCATCTTCATCATTAAGTCTAGTTTAGTCATACCAAATTTCAGATAAAATTTCAATCGGGAAGACAGTCAAATGAATTTGCGAAGATAACTGTGCGGTTAAACATCGCAGTGTATTTCAGAAAAACATTTGATTGCCTTCCCGGTTTTATTTTTAGCTGAAATTTGGTATGGGTAAACTAGACTTAATGAAGAAGATGCTAAAAAATATTCATCAAAAATGTCACCGGTAACCGCCCCAAATGGCGAAGCCTGAACAGAACCTCCTATATAAGGGGTGATTTGCACTTTTTTGATTAGTTCGAGGGCCTATTTGTCTTTTTTCCATAATTAAAGTGATATGGATTGAAATTACCATAGTTTACGTGTCCAAATTAAAAATGTTTCTAATCTTTTTTTTATCGTCAAACATAAATCATATATTAATCCAACATATCGTTAGCAATTTGGCTATAAATACAAGAAGGGGCAACCTCAAACACTACTCGTTGATATGGTAAATGCACATGAGGTCTAGCTATTGCATGAGTCACGCAATTTGCAGACCTTTTACAATGAAATATAAAAATATTTCTCTTCTCACTCACAATTCCTTGAATATCATCTAAAATAAACTGAAGAAATTAAAAACCTGCATCCTGTTTCAACCCTTGCACAACAGATAACACATTTGTTTCCACCTCCACAATATGTCAGCCCTCTTCCACCGCACACCTAACTGCATCCCTGAGCCCCATAGTCTCGGTTCTTCTACTGTCCACTCTGCTTTTTGTGAGGCTCCACATGCTTTATTAAATTCCCCGTCTTCATTCCGAGCTATCCATCCTCAAGTTCTAACTCCATTCGCCTGATCCATAGAGCTCCATTCACATTGAGCTTGATTGCTCCCAGCCGTGGTTTACACCATCTAGCAGCCGCAGCAGTCACGACCTGCCTACCCGCGGCAGAACTGGAATTCGGCCGCTGCACCTCCTTCCATGCAGTCTGCATGGCAGCCGCTATATTGAGTACCTCACTCGCCTCCTGCTTTTTGTCTTTCCAAACACTATTATTTCTACGCTTCCAAATGCTCCAAAGTATAGAAATAAATTTGCACCTGTATGACAAATCAATCATAGCAACATTCTTTTTTGGCCAATCCTCGGTCACACCAAGAGTCTTCCTCGGTGATCACTCCTGATTGCTTCCAAACTTCCAAAGCTCCAGGACAGTCTCTCACTACATGCGCAGTGGATTCCCCTGCATCACCACATACTACGCACCCGCCTTGTATGGCCACTCCTTTCTTCCTTAGATTGTTCACCGTTGGTAGTGTGTCATCAATAACCTGCCAGATAAAATATTTAAGTTTTGGTGGTACATGAGCTTCCCCAACCTGCTTCCACCCTTCCCATGCGCCAGCCCGGAACATCACCCATGCTAGCTCTGTAACAGCTTCTGACCGAAAAAACTCCATTCTTCTCACCTGTCCACCAATTGTCATCCTCTTTGTTCTGCCAACTTATTGGAATACTAAGAATTTTCTTTTTAACCTCCTCATGGAATAAATTATTAATTCATAAATCGTAATGTATTCCATTCTTTACCGGTACAGTCTCTCAAAGCCGCAACATTCATGTCCCTCACTCCATTAGGCCTAGGAGAGGTAATTCGGCCATCCCTCTCCCTAGGCAGGCATGCATCCCCCCAGACTTGAACATTTATTCCATTCCCCGCTCTGCGCCTGATATTATTCCTTAAAATATTCCGAGTCTCAAAAATACTTCTCCATATAAACGAAGGATTACTCCCAATCTTAGCCTCTGAAAAATTAGAATTTGGGAAATACTTTGCTCTCAACACACGGCACATCAAGCTATCCGTCTTAGTAATCAGTCTCCATCCCTGTTTAGCTAACATAGCTAAATTAAATTCTCTAATTCTTTGAAATCTCAGCCCACCTGCTTCCTTCGGGCTACACATGTGCTCCCACCGTCTCCACCTAAGCCCCTTATGCTCGAAATTTGCTCTCCTCCACCAGAAACCATTCATTAATTTTTTCAATCTCATCACACAACTCCTTTAGTAGCAGGAACACGTTCATGGCAAAATTTGGCATAGCCCGTATCACATTGATCAACAAGACTGCTCGTCCAACTCTGGAGAGAAATCTGTTATTCCAACATTTAATTCTATTGAAAATACAATCTCTCAAGTACCCCAAAATGGTAGATTTATTTTTCCCAATTAATGCCGGTAGCCCCAAATATAAATTCTATCCATTATCTCTTGAGATACCGAAGTGCTGACAACAATACTCTCTGAAGGGTTCACCCACATTTGGGCTAAACGTCAATGAGGATTTTGTAAAGTTCACCATTTGTCCCGAACTACCCTCACACCTTTGTCAAATATTTTTTATGGCCACACTATCTCCCTACGAAGCCTTAAAAAACATGAAACAATCATCAGCAAATAATAAATGAGATACTCTTGGGATACTCTTGGAGCTCCCCCTACTAACCGAGACCCCCATGTATTCGGCCCTGATGATCAGCTCTCCTCATCATGACACTTGATCCCTTTGTAATAAGAATAAAGAGATATGATGATAACGGATCTCCCTGTCGTAGCCCTCTCTACGGTACAATCGGTCCCAACTGATCCTTATCAAACTGGACAAAATAATTAACAGAAGTGACACACTCCATTATTATTTTGACCCATCTCGGCCCAAATCCCATTTTCTCTATAATTCTCCTCAAAAAATCCCAGCTAACTCTATCATAAGCTTTACTCATATCAAGTTTTAATGCCACATAGCACTCCTTTCTTGTACTCTTCCTTTTAATAAAATGTTGGGTCTCAAAAGCCACCACAGTATATATTATCAACAATTGACGTCCACTTTTCTAATCTTTCTTATTTATACTAATAATAATACTTCCCATGTGATAAAAGCACTTTGATTTTCTCCTAGAAAAGCCAACCTTATTTTTTTATATATAAAATATTCGATTTCGGTTTATTCGGGTTGGGAAAATTTGTACCAAACTAAAACCATTTGTGTTTCGGTTCGGTTTCGATTCGGTTCGGTTCGAAGTTCGGTTTACCAAAGTGAAAAGTATTAGGTTGAATTTAGTTCGATTTGATTCATTTTCTTATGTTTATTACTCCCTCCGTCCCGCTAAGATTGTCCCATTTTACCTTTTCGAGACGTTCCACTAAGATTGTCTCATACCAAATTTGGTAAAGTCTGTGTGCCTCTAAATCATTCTTACTTTATTCTTACTTTATCAATTTAATACCAACCACACAAACTCACTTTTCTTAATAACTGTGCGACTTTCTCTTGTCCCAATCTTAGTGGGACGGAGGTAGTATAATATTATATGATCAAGTTCATATATTTTAGAATTAGAAAATGAAAGTAGTAATCCATCTCATCTTGTTTTATTGATTATTACAAATAAAAGGGAAAATGGAAACTAATAATTCAACCTTTTAGTAGTCTTCTTACAATAGTCTCACCTTTTCGTTATTCAAGAATAATCCAAACTTTGCACCCCATCTTCATTCGCTGGTCTCTGACCGGTTAATGACCTGCTATTCCAAGTTATTTTCTTATCTTTGCAAAATATTATCTTTGTGAAAGGTGATATTTATGGTATAATGGTTTGCAAAGATAAGAAAATAACTTGGAATAACAGGTCATCAACTAGTCAGGGACTAGTGAATGAAGATGATGTGCAAAGGTTGGATTATTCATGAATAACGAAAGATGGGACTATTGTACGAAGACCGATTAAAGGTTGGATTATTAGTTTCTATTTTCCCAAAATAAAATGTAAAAGGAAATAAATTGAAAAAAGAAATAATAAAATATTATAAATTAAAACTTCTAACATCTTTTTGATCACTGGAAAAAGATTCATTTCTCACAAAAATAAGATTATAGTTGATTAGCATTTATAATACGGAGTATCACATAAAAAATTCAAAAAAAAACTAAAGGAGTCCGTGGTACAAATGTTGTAATATTCACAATTTTATTCAAATGAATCATGTAAGAAATATAAATGCAATCTTCTATTATTATCGCCAAATTATACTTAACAAATACAAATATGTCTGTTGGTCCAAAATAGGACGCTCGTAAGCTTTTAGGAAAGCTATGAAAGAACACTCCAGTAGGAATCAAGAAAGTAAGAACGAATATTGAAAGTAGCTAGAGGGTTTGAGAGCCAGAAATAACATATAGAAATTCCCCCAATCTGAATTACAACGTGCCATTTATAGGCGTATACAAATCGTAACCGCTATCGATAATAATGACTAATTAATTACAACATTAATACAGAATTAAATACATACTCCCTCCGTCCCGCTATGATTGTCCCATTTTACCATTTCGGTCCGTCTCACTAAGATTGTCACATACCTTATTTGGTAAATTTTGTGTGGTTCTAAATCATTCCTACTTTATTCTTACTTTATCAATTCAATATCAACCACATAAACTCACTTTTATTAATAACCGTGACACAATCTCTTGTCCCAAACATAGGGGGACGGAGGTAGTAATTAATAGCGCATTGATTGCTTGACCGTTACTTTTCCTAGCTGGCAGGTCGGCCGGACTGGCAGGCACCCCGCTGGGCTGGTAGGCAGGCTCCAGGTTGTGGACTTGGATCCACGGGTCCAAGCTTGGGGCTTGGGCCGATTAGGCAGAGCCTAGTCCCATTACTCCATCATGAGTCCCCCCACTCCCTTAGTCGAGTAGTAGACTCGGCTAAGAGGGAGTAGTCCAAGTCAGCTGCCTTTCTCCGAGACTGGAAGATCTATGCCCTTGTCCATGTTGGGGAGATGCCTCATTAAAAACCTTCATTAGGAAAAAAACCCGATGGGAAAAAATCCTAATGAAGGGAAAAAGAGTACATCTGATGGTCCCAAGATGAAGCAAAGGGTGAAATCTTCAGCCTTTATTGCAATGATCACCATTAGCGAAGAGGATGGCTAGAACCGTTCTTCTTATCGGGCTCGGACTCATCATGCTCGTCTTTGTTCAGTCGTACCTACACATAAAAGCAACAAGTGTAGAATAGAGCATCTAACCTGGTGCTGAACCACGACTCAGTGAGTAAGTGAGTCAGACTCACTACTCGAAAAGAGTGACATCAAGTTCCCAAGTTAGGCCTCAACCCAGTCTCCAAAAGGAAGATTGAATCCACGAGTAAGTAACTCAGAGTCACCCTTCGAACGGATAATCCAACCCCACAGAACTAAAGTATATCAACCTTTTCGGGAAATGTGAATGTCAGTTAAGTGAAAAAAATTGCTCGGAAGAGCGTGGCACTAGGCCCCTAACAAGAGTTTAACTCGCCGCTCGAGATTAGTAGTTCGAACTCGCAAGTAAAAACTTTTGAACGGGTGACTCGTCCCCTGATGTCGGAGTGTGATGAACTATGAAGAGGTAAGAGCACGCAAGAACTCGTATGTAGTCAAGAGTGTGCGGTATTAACATTTATATTGGAGCTTATAAATCGTCACACCCATATGACGTGACCTGGTGGCGCGAGTGTGTGTGCTCGACCAGTGTACGAGTGTGTGCTCGTCCGGCGTACTTGAGTGATCCGATTTCATTAGTCCGTTGTTCAATGTTAAAATTACACACACTTAACAAGAGTAAAAGCAATCATATCACTTAAAATATCTTTTCAAATGTCCCAATTTATGATTTTTTTAATCAAATACGAAGTATTTCCACATATTAAATTTTGAACAATGGACCGTCCTTTTTTATTGGGCCGTCCAATGGACCGTGATGTTGAAATTGTGGCCAATCATCATTCAGAACCAATTTTGGAGTGCTGCTCCCATCTGGACTGTGCTCCCATCTGGACCGAAAGCTCCCAACACCATCGATCACTGCTGCAGTTCCAATTGACAAAGAAGAGAGGCGCCTCCCACCATCTACCTTAATCTAAAAGGAAAAGAATTCCACGCATGTGTTTGACGCCCAAAAGTGTCAACGTCAGGTGTAAGCCAATTATTATGTGTGTGTTCCTATTTTGCATTCTTGGGCAGCTTATTGCAACGTATTTTGCAAGACAATTTTCTATTAGTCAGAATTGAGGTGCGTCTTTTTTGAGGGCCTCTATTGGATGAAAAGGGTGGTGACTACTGTTGATTAGTTATTTTGCATGCTTGGGTTTGATTGGCTGGAATGGGTTGGCAAACAGGTATGTTCTGCCTGAACCGGAGTGGGTGGTCAACAGTGGATGGTATGTGTTATTATTTTGCCCTATGACAGCATCATTGTTGGCCTATAAAATCTCAACTGTGTTCGCATGTCTCTCAAGCCAGTTCTCGCTTAGCATTTTGCACTCTCATAGCAGCAAACATAGGTGGCCACCGTTGATCAAAAAGGAGTTGGGACCCTGGCACACTGCAGAGTATATCTACAGTATTATCAATGAATTTATGTGTGTGCTCTCCCAAATAGCAATCGGTTTGGTACTCTGCCCATGCTGCAAGTTGAGCCTATTGTTGAGTCACATCTGCTGAGGTAGTTCCATGCTTCTCAACCTACATGCCAAATTCAATGTATTATACTCAGCAAAGGTTGAGGGTTGGAAATTGGCTATAAATACAGAATTGCATTCCAAGTTATTCAGCCATATGTGGTATAATATACTTCAAGTATTTGTTATAATAAAAAATACATATATAATTGGTAAACAGTTAATCAGCAAAATCTCTAAACATGGTTGTGAAGAATGAACACCGTTCAAGCTAAAGTTAATAGAGATTGAGTTTCACGGTCGGTCCTATCTGTTAGACTTTACTGTTTAGACACTGTTTGGCACGGTTTAGACACCGTTTTGGCACTGTTTAGACACTGTTTGGCACTGTTTTGCACTGTTTGACACTGTTTTGATATAGGATAACTTTCCATTTAGAGAAATGAGAAGATTATTTTGGGACGACCCAAAAAGGAAAGTAGGAAGTTAATAGTGGGACGGAGGGAGTACTTAAAGACCTTAAAATAAAAATAATACCTCTAGATGCGTTAAATCAAACAAAGTAGAATCCAAGATTCAAATTAAAAGAATATAAGAAAAAAGTACTAAAATACATTTTGTGGGAGCATTGTAAAGTGAGTTCATCAAAACTTCATAATCAAGCTTTTCTAACACATTACAAGTTTGTGTTTTGATTTCAAATTTGACCTAAATTAATTACTTCCGTGAAATTTCACTAACCGTTCATTTAAAAATTGTGAATGAAAATAAAATATATTTTTCAAACAATGGTTGCTTTTTCGTAATACACTCTGTATTAATAACCTAAATTAAATTGCTGTTTTTGAGAATTGTGAATGACATTACAGAACACCTTCAGATCCATTTAGGTATATAAAATTACTAAAATTATATTTTTGTATAATTTCCTCGAATTAAGATATAAAATAAATGCACAAAATATAACTTTATGTATTTAAATCCATTTAATAATATTTAAAATGAAATGAAAGTGAATAAGTTTGCAAAAATATATTCATGCACTTCATTTTACACAATATAATTTCGAAATGTGTATGTGTGTTCATATAATGTCCGGAAATTTTAGAAAAATTATGAGGCTGTAAACACGTTTTAGTGCATGTTAACAACGGTTGTTCAACTCCTCCACTAAGATGCTTTCCAGATTCACACTGACGGTTACTTCCGTACTTTCTTACGGAGTATATATTATTAAAAAATATCATTTAATAAACTCAAAACCAAATAAAAGAAAACAAGATCGAAGAGATGTCAAGCCCGTGTGTTCGGACACAGATCTCCAGTTCTGTCGGTTTTGGGTGTTGCGGTTCATACCAAAATCGAATTAGGTTGTTTATAATAAAAATAATGATTAACGGCTTTATTGTGTGTATTAGAGCGTTTCAGAGCTTACCGTTGCCGGGGCATCATGGCGGGGTGTTACGCGGCTCTGTGTCGGTGGACCACCGGTTGTGGGTTGCGGCTGGAGTGTGCGCGGAAAATCGGCCAGTGATGTGTGTGGATCGCCTATCTTGGCAGCGCTTGGATATGTCGGATTGTCGGTTAAGTGGCGTCCCTTTCAGCCTCGGTTTATGGACGGGTAATAGCGTGGGTTTTGGTTACCGGTTTTTTGGGCTCCATTTTGGATTGTATTTTGGCCCAGTAAGGATGGATCTGGACTGTATTTTGGATTTGTTTGTGTGTGGTGGAAAATAAATTAAAATTCATCATTATATTAAGTATACCCTAGCAATCCTGGAAAACGGTTTATACAATGACACAAAACTCATAAATTCATAAATTCTTTCAATGAAATATATTATGCGTTTTTTATAATAAACTTTTTATCATTTAATTCACTAGGTTAGTGTTTATAAATGATATTTTTTCCCAAATAATGAATCCGTTTTTATAAATGCATTATTGATAGTAAGTACTGGGTAACCAATTTAAACATTTTGAAGCATTGGGTATCGTGACATTAAATTGGATCAACATCAAAGCAGATCTTCCAAAGCCAAATATAATGGTAAAATTGAAAATGTAGTACGGAGTATGACTTAAAATTGGAAATGTATAGTAGGACTTTATATGTTATGACTATAAATAAAAGTCAAGGCCAATCATTGTCATGTGTGAGATTGTTGTTAAAAATCTGTCTTTACCCACGATCAATTGTATGTTGCGCTTTCCAGGATTACCATTCGTTGTGGTCTGAAAATTTTAATTTGTGATGAGGATGAAGGCACCACGGACATCACTCAAAATGTTGTTTTCAAGGAAGTGTTCAACAATGTGTAGGGTTATATTATACTCCATACTCCGTAGTCATTAATGTAATGTTAGTGTCTATTAATTTCTTTTGTATTTCCCAACGTTTTACCAATACTAAATCCTCTTTTTGAAATAGTGATATAATATGTGCCCAACTACGTTAACATATATTTATTATACATCTTAGATTTTTCTTGAGGATATATAATTCTTGCTATCTTATACAAGGTTTTGTGTAACAATTGGGTCCCTTTCATTATTTCCAACAATGAGTTTAGAAAAAAGAAATTATAAACCGTGCATCGCCCGGGTAATTTACTAGTTGTGCAGAAAGAAGGGTCCTTCGGATATTGCTGTTGCCGGAAGGGACCTTTCACCCGCCGCCGCTGGACTCGCAACTTGGCCGTAGGAGGTTGACCCACCGGAATGCGTCGGTCACCGGAGAGGACGTCGTCCATCGTCGCTACCTCCTAGAGAAAATCGTTGAAGCTCTAAACGGCGACAAACAGTTCCTTCGTCGCTGAAGAGGGAGCTGCAATGGAGAAGACGGCCCCAACTTTGAAATCTGGTGGCACAAAACCACTGATCCGTCAATCGCTAGATCCATCTGGTCGCGTTTCTCGCGTCGATGGTGAGGTGGAAGGTCGAGCTGTGGTAGACAGCTAGGTCGAGAAGCGAGCGGTAGACAGCTAGGTCGAGAAGCGAGCGGCTATGGGAGCTACGATCGCTGTATCTACGCCGCTGGTTTCCGGTCTGCTTGAGAACTGCTTGCTTCCTATGCTTGGCCGGGTTCCGACGAGATCGTTCTATTTGGGGAGCTCCGAAAAAACCTCAAAAAATCCATTTCTTTCAGGCCGATTTTTGCTAGATTTTTTCAAGATTGTCAAACGCAGACCTGAAAAATTGCTAGATTTTTCCATCTTCCCCATTTTTTCTGACATTTCTTGTTTGATTCCTACCAAAGTGATGAGAGAGACGATAGAGACTCTTGATGAAAGCACCAATGTTGGTCAATTTATAGGCGTATACAAATCGTAAACGCTATCTATAATAATGACTAATTAATTACAACATTAATACAGAATTAAATACATAATTAATAGCGCATTGATTGTTTGACCGTTACTTTTCCTAGCTGGCAGGTCGGCCGGACTGGCAGGCTCCCCGCTGGGCTGGCAGGATCCAGGTTGTGGACTTGGATCCACGGGTCCAAGTTCGGGGTTTGGGCCGATTAGGCAGAGCCTAGTCCCATTACTCTATCAATGTCGTATTAACTAACTTTGTCATAATAAATGTATGAAATGTGTAAAAGTTAAAATAATACTACATATATGTTAAATATGTTTTTTACATGTCTAAATTATTTATTTATATCTTAAAAATGAAGAGTGGAGATAAATACAAAGTTTATTACTACGTATATATATAAATATTTATATAAGTTGTTCGGTATTCAGTTCAATTTACGGTTTTTCGGTTTTTAACCAAACCAAACCAAACCACTAATTTTTTATTCAGTTCCGTTCGGTTAAACCAAAACATTTTGCCCACCCTATTAAAATACATTAATAACTAAGCGCAACAAAGACTTACTCTAAACACAGGATCATCAACACCCTTTGTAAGTTTGTAGCACTTCAAGTTTCTTTTGTTTTAATTTCTGCCCCAACCTGATAATTTTGCAATTCTTTCATTCAATTTATCCTTCTCACAAATCTTCTATTATACAAAAGCAAGTGGAAAAATGAACAGTATTCCCGCCCAAATACTGTACAGTAATGGGCCGGGTGAGTGTTGGCATGGGTGAATGACGGGTCTGATGGCAGCCCAATGCTATGTTTTAATGCTTGCCCAACATTCAATGCTTCAATTGTGTGGCTCAAGACAAACCATTTAATGGTGGCTGCTTTTATGAATAAAAAAAAGAATTTAAGTTGTACTTTTAAAGTTGGGAAGCCGGGTCGGTTGTATTGCATTTTACAACTTCTGTGGTTACATTTTACAGCATTAAATACAAATCCCAGCACCCAATAAAGCATTGTGAGGCTCAATAAAAAGGATATGTAGAGGACAAATTCAATATTAAAAAAAGGCTGCATATGTCATTTTGAATTAATTGGTATGTACTACAAAATCTTTTAATGTCCTTACATATCCGCATGCATTAAATAAATGGAGATATGTAATTAAAGCTCTCATAAAAAGTTCAATGTATTGCTTGAGCTCATTTATTGTTTGTACTACAAAATCTTTAGTAAAGATTTAGGTTCAATGGACCATTGGTTATAAACCAATTTACTTTTAGAGGACACTCCATTCTGCCCCTATAAATACACTCAAAATGGTTGCAAACCACACCACCACCAAGCACTTCATTTCATCTCACAACTTCTTCATAGCATTCTATGGCAGTCAATACAGCAAGGTGTCATTTATGATGAATAGGTATAACATATCTCAAAAACTGTTTCAAGGTAATATATATGCAAATGCAGTTTAATGTGCAAGCCTGATAATGTTCATCTAAGATTAACAATTATATTTAACTATATATTTGCATGGAGGGCTGACCTATGCTACACTAAGAATGCCACATGTTGTAATTCAAGTAAAAAACTGTTAGTGTGTTTAGACTGTTTTGTATACAAAAAGATAATTTTTTTATATATGTCACTGATTATCATTGCAGGTTCCAAGCATTCAAGCAACATCATTTTTGGAGATCTTTTGATTACCAATTGGCATTTTTTTTTACAGATTACGTACTTTTTTAAAAGCCAAGGAAAAGCTGTGAATGCCACAACTAACATCTAAAACAGAGTGATTATTTGAAAACTAAGGGATTATAAATTACTTATTCAAGTGTAATACATATATGTAAGTATAAAAAAATCAGGAATGAAAAATATGTTTATTCCATATGATCGAAAGAAATCACATGTGTTATTAAATTATATTCAGCTTTTAGTGTATGATGATTAGCCCAAAATGAACATAATTGCATATTTTAGTGTAAGATGATTATCCAAAAAATAAACATTACTGAAATAATAAAATGATATAGTAATGAGATTCATACCTGCCTTTGAAACAGAAATTCTGCACAGTATTCCCACTCAAAAATTGAACCAGATTCAAACATTAATGATGAACACAGTAAGACAGAGGGTATGTTTTGAAATATAGATTCATTTTAGCTCAAAAATAATATTGCTTATTACATTTATATAGGCAGATTTAGTCAGCAGTTTATTTGAGAAACATCCTTACTTTGGTGGGATTTAAAAGCAAAGAGTTGGACTTGAAAGTTTAGAGGATGAAGATCATACCTCAGAATTTGACAATGGAGAATCCCTGAAATCCCTAATCTTAACTAATTAATAATTAAATTTGGGCACCTTATTCAGTTCCATGATCCTACGAATTCACATTTTATAAAAAAAGCTCCACTTTAAAAATATAAACAATCTTTTTGGATTAGATCTGCAATATAAAAGATGATATCATGTTAAAATGCATCTCAATTTGGATCACACATAATACAATCGTATTTTTGTTTAAAGACCCTTATGTTTTTAAAAATAAAGTATGTTAGATTAGTATTACACACTATAGTTTCAAAACACTTTACAGAATTTTTTCTTTTAAATAAGCATAAGAAATTGAGTTATAAATAGAGTAAATTAGGCAGAACTAAGGTATTAAACGCTACGATATGTTAACCTGATCAAATTTCACTTCGTATTGTTGAAAAGTTTATTCAAATTTATTACTCATTCATCTTTTAATTAATACAATGTATGTGGTCTTTATAGAAATACTATTTTCATATACAAAGTTAATGAACGAAGATAGGTCTAATAAACAAGGTTTCTTTATAAAAGAAGTTTTGAATTTATTAAAGTGGTATAGCTAATATATACTAATATATATCTTAAAAGAAGTTTTTAGATAGGTCTAAACATTAGGAGGTTGACAAAATCAACCAATATATACTCTTAAAGATGAATTGAAGACATTCTTAATGAAGGTGTGATGAAGTTTTTCTATTGGGATACTGGCAGTCCTATGGTCAAGTGCCAAAAACACTAGAAATCACTTATTGGGCATGACAAAGCATTATTAGCTCATTAAAACATTGTTCATAACAATTCCTATTAAAATAGTTTGAGCAAAAACAGTATTCGGCTTCACAAACAAGTACGAATAAACAAAAACTTTTTCAATAACAATGTATTTAAGTACTTTAATACAAAAAGAATTATAATCATAATCAAAACCTTTTAATTATATACTACTACTGAAATCGGCTTCAACATAACAGGCTCATCAAACGGAGGGGAAGACCCAAATATTTGTTTAATGTGTAAAGCCAATTTTTCGTGAGACAAAATTTTCAATAAATATCAATATTTACAGATAATAGTACATATTTGTCACTCCAAATAACAGATTTATTTTGCCAACACCTATTTAAAAAAAACATGTTCATCGGTCACCAAACATAGATCGGATATTACGACAGATCTGGCCACCAAATGGTTAACCGACGGGATTTTTTTATCCTCGAACAATAGAGAAATCTACATATTTGGAGATTTTTGTAAAAAGTTTCAGATTTTATGCATTCCAAAAAGTAGAATTTGCTCAAAGAAATGAAGAGAACACTCGGTCAAATGAAAAGCATTAAATAATGAAAACAGTACACATTAACAGATGATAAGCATAAAAAGGTTTGAGGACAAAATTTTAGCAAAGAAAATATACCAAACCATGACAGGGAGACAGCGGATAAGCATTTTGATTTGGTCAGACGAGATGCCAAATTCACAGCTGATAAGCGGTGCTCAACATCACGTCTATACACTCAACCGACCTTTTCATACAGTCGGCAAACCCGTAATAATGAAAGACTAGATGAAGGAGTAGAGGAGGGAGTAGCTTATGTACGGAGTTTGAACGGCGATGCAAAAAAAAAAAAAAACAATACCAAGACGGAGATGTAAGGGATATACCAAATTTCAAAAGCATAGTGAGATATGGTCCGAGATTCATCGATCTGCTCTCAGCCACCGTCAAGGTATGAGAAGAGGAGAGGCTATCTGATCTCTTTAGATGGGTTGTACGGATAATGATAATGGCTAATAGGAAATTCTTAGGTTTTGCCAATTGGGCCAGTTTAACTGGGCTCGGCTCCTATGAGCTGATAAAAGAAAGGGATTGTGTGGTCTATCCAAAATGTGACTCATTAGTTATTATTGTATTTTTGGAAGAATTAGTTATTATTGTTAATAAGTTTAGGATGCATATATACTGTAAAAAAAAACAGAGGTATTGTATTATTGTAACATCAGTATGTTATTTTGTAAAAGTTCTATATATGCTCAATTGAAATATTTTAAACTGCCTATATTTTTTTGGAAGGTTTAAACTGCCTATATTGTGTAAATAGAATGTTGAGATACACCTAAATAAAACTAATAATAATAATAATAAATATTAATGTCATAATAATATTAAAAATATAAATAATTATTATTATGGTGGTGATGATAATAACAATTACGGAATATATTGTTATTATTTGGAAGGTTTATTATTATTTGTTATTTTATTGTTTTAGATGTAATAGTTATTGCACTCTTATTATTATTATTATTATTAAGATAGTTAAAATATCTTAATATATTGTAAATATATTGTAGTTTATAAGTAAGTTTTTTTGCAATGTGTAGATTGTAAGACTCTATATAACATTTCGGCTTTTCTACTTATTTCAAAACATTCTTACTACCCATCTCTGAGTTTTCACTATCCGATCTTTAATTATGATTTATTAGGCATGTTATGTCTACGACAATTTGCATGCATTTCACACAACCAAGTAATATTTACAAATAATATCATATTGTTATTACATTTTAATAACAATATTTTTGCCGCGATCTGCCGTTCACACGCTCAATCCAATCTTGCTGTTCCCACGGTTTCTATACTCAGGTTTGTGTTCTTTTCGATCTCTCCCTGATCATGGATATAATTTCAGTTAATTTGGCTTTACAAATGAGAGATTCACCCAGTGGAAGGGAGTGCTATTTTTTCTTTGGTTTGTGCGACTAATCATGAGCTCAATTTCTGAAACAATATAGTCATTTCTGCATCACTGTTTGCATAATAGATTGTAGGATTGAATATCATTTACAGTCCTGGAACGTATAATTCTAGACAGAAGTAAATTGATGTTTTGAAACAGTCTTAAATCATTTTTTTGTTAGCAACATGCTTTGAGCATTTGCAGAATCCTTAAATCCTTCTATTATCATTTGTATACAATCATAAACCATATAGAATTTTGAATGCCGTTTCTGAAATTTGACCATTGTATACATTGATAATCATGAAAGTTCTATTCTTTCCATTATTCGTATTCAGTTGGCAACATGGATTTTTTGTTTGCTTCTGCATTTGAATTAATCCTTTTGATGGAAACCAGAACCAGATAGATATGTTTTCATTGTTGTACGGACTTTGGGAGTATGCCTTCAGCAAGACAGAGTTTAATGTCCTTATCCTGGGGATTGACAAAGCTGGAAAAACGGTATGATTCATATGTACTTTTCTTTTCAAATCCCCCTTCAGGTCTTCATTAACATTCTCTTTTAGTTGAGACCATTCTGCTTTTTTGTTTAAATTTAATGGTTGTGGTTTATGAACTCCCACCATCTCAATCCCCTAACCTTTTATTTGCATATGGTAAAAGAAGCTCATTATTTCACATTTCATACTTCACAGTTCTACATTGACTGCTATTCAGCTGCTATTCTGGTAAAAGGAGCAAATGAGCCCACATACTAACCAAAAAAGGTCAAATAAGCCCTTATTTAGGAGGCTTTTTCCGGCCGTCTCCATTTGGGGCAGTTCCCGGTGGAATTTTTTGATGAAATTTTTAGAGCATCTTATTCATTAACTCTAGTTTACTCATACCAAATTTCAGCTAAAACTTTAATCGGGAAGGCATTCAAATGACTTCTTGAAGATAACTGCGCAGTTAAAAGCGCAGTTATCTTCAAGAATTCATTTGAATGTCTTCCTGATTTAATTGTTAGCTGAAATTTGGTATGAGTAAACTAGGCTTAATGAATAAGATGCTCAAAAAATTTCATCAAAAAATTCCACCGGGAACCGCCCCAAATGGCAACGGCCGGACAGAACCTCCTAAATAAGGGCTTATTTGACCTTTTTTTTTGTTAGTGCGTGGGCTTATTTGCCCCTTTTCTCTAAAAAAAAGTCCATTTTGACAACCTTAGATGTCAAAAGTTGCCATTTTTATTTTGTCTCTGTCTGAATGTTTGTTCAAATTTGTGAGTGTAGTTTGCTTGGACATTATAGTAAAAGCATAATGATAGAAATAGCATTTCAGTAAAAGCTTGCAGGAACATTCACCTATATTCGTCCATTCATAATTATAATTGGATAAATCGCCATGCCCTTGATAAATTTGAGTTTTAGAATTTAGTCATGCCCCAAGAAGCTAATACTCTCTCAGGCCCCAATGTAGCACTGTAGTTTCCCATTTTCTTTGCCACTCTTATTAATAATATGAGATTGTGCGTTTCAAATTGATTTAGAAATGAAAGAGAAATTATCAACCTCCCATTTTTTTCCTTGAAAGGAAATGAAAAGAAAATATAAATGGATGAAAAGGAAAGTAGGAAGCTAATCTGGGGGGAGGGACTACCCCCCCTTCTTCCCTCTCAAAAAAACTGTGCTCAATCCCTCCTATTGTTTCGATTTCTGTGTAAGTTATAAACACACCAAGTATGGCCCAACTTCTTTTTCTTGTTGGTTTCATAAATGATATGTGTGATTTTGTGAGGTAAAATATTTTGATTACAGCTAACTTATGTTTTTCTTTTAGACATTATTAGAAAACTTGAAGTCACAATTCTTGAACATAGAAGCCCTTCCACCTGACCGCATTGTTCCAACTGTTGGACTGAATATTGGGCGTGTTGAAGTTTCAAATTCAAAACTTGTATTTTGGGATCTCGGAGGGCAGGTACGTGAAAATACTTTAATGGTTAACTGTGATTGGGATCTTGATCATATAGTTTTGAATTATGAACTTTCATGAACCAGTCTCTTGTAGTTGTGATGAATATTGTACATGGTCTGTATTCCATTAAAGATGGTCCTAAACAGACAGTCATAGTTTATATGGATTTTATGATTTATTTGTTGCTTCAGCCTGGTCTTCGCTCAATCTGGGAGAAGTATTACGAGGAGGCACATGCTGTTCTGTTTGTGGTTGATGCTGCTTGCCCGTCACGTTTTGAAGATGCTAAATCTGCACTTGGTAAGTCTTCATACATTAATAATGCATTTCTAGTCACTGTATATAGCCTGATTAATGAATACATGTTGTTGAAGGCACTCATCCTGGTTTGTAAATAATCGGCAGAAAAGGTTCTCCGGCATGAGGAGCTTCAAGGAGCCCCACTTTTGATTTTGGCAAACAAGCAGGTAATTTCTTTGATTTCCTTGGGCCATGTTTGGAACCTAGAATATGTTAGGGAAAGGCAAAAGAAACATTAAATAAAATGGATTGGAGTGTTAGTTTTAACAATGACAAAACTGTTTTTCTTTGATTTCACATTTTCTAGATTTCTTGGTTTGAAACGTATAAATAAGTCGAGCTTGAACAAGCTTTATTTTTCCTAAAATTTATTTCCTTCCAAACTCCCCCTCTGTTTTAATTCGTATTTTGTTTAATTAGCATTTTACGGGTTCCAAACGGACCATTAGAGAAAATGGAACAAGTATTGTGTTGCTGAAGATTGTTTTTTCATGAGCTGTATTAGGGGAATGGACAAACTTTGATGGAACTCCTAAGCTTTGTTAACAACAATTGTCATGTTTCTTGAACTTGTTGATACCAGGATCTGGCTAAAGCTGTTTCAGTGGAAGAACTTGACCGGTATCTCGATCTCAAGAAATTAGATGAGAGAGTCTACACTTATCAAGCCGTTTCAGCATATGAAGGGTGAGTGGAAGAACGATTTCTTGGACTTCCAACTGTGATTATTGGCCATAATTTCAATAAAGCACTAACTTCATTAGTTTTGCTTTCAGTTGATAGTCAATAAAAGTGCAAACATTGGTTTTTTTCGTTTAGTTGATAAAAGTGAAAAAAATGGTTTGTTTGTTTGTTTTCTGATGAATGAAATGCAAGTAAATGACACCTTAACTGTCATTTATGACATTAATTTATTGATAAATAATTTGTAAAATATAATTTAGGTAATTGAAAATATTAGTCACTGAGACGCAATTGCAACATAAGTCATCATGCATCATAACCCAAAAGTTACCATAATCAAATATGTGCTCCAAAGTGGTTGTGACTAAAACTAACTTGACTTTTAGTTACAGGACTGGTATCAAGGAGAGCGTGAACTGGCTTGTGAATGCTATGGAGAGAAGTAAGCGAACAGAAAGGCTGAAGCAGCGTGCTGAGTCCACCAGTTTTTGATATATGCTCAAGGCCATAATAATAATAGTTAGTATTAGCATTTCATACTATGTAATCTGTATGATCCTTCTGTAAGTAATCCATTGCTTACTTTATTGGTAGCTTGTAAAATTTAAACCAATACACACTTGAATGACAGTAAAACAATGTTTTTTTGGTCACTACAAGGTGAGAGTGAGATTTCAGTTTGCTGTCATCTACAATCCTATTCACATAGCAGCAAATGCTAAGTTTCTCAAAGATCGGTTTCGTAAGCTTCTGGCTTGAACCAAGGCGAAGTCAACTCCTTTGCTTTTCAGTTTTTCGGTTTCAGGACCAATTTTTTCGATAATCTGCAAAAGAGGACAAATGCAGAAAAACTTAGCTGTTGAAAGAGGTGATCAAAGCCTTGTTACATTACAGGGATGTAGAAGGTTTAATGTGATATCTTAATGTGAAAAAAATAAGATATATTTTCTCATTATCATGAAACAAATTTTAAAAGATTGAACTCTGAGCAGGGGCGGACCGTAGTAGAGACCCGGGGGGATCGCCCCTCCAAAAAAAATATTAGTGTATATATATATATATACGAAAAAATATTTTCGCCCTCTAAACAACTTTTTTTTTTTATTAAATCACCGCTGATGAATTTTCTGGGTCCGCCCCTGACTGTGAGAACCAAAGTCAAACGAGAGAAAGTTGGCTTTGTCATAATGTCATGAAGGGTACCATTTGAATATACACAAAAAGTTCACCATCCATGCGGCCATGTGGGAAACAAAAGCACCATATATGAACTTGCAAACGGATGCGGATAATTTTCATGATTTTAATTAATGAAAATGAAACTTAAGTATGGAATAAGACACAACATAGATAAAGTTAAAAAAATAGGATGAAATATGTTGTATTCCTCAAATAGGACTTATTTAGTTCTATCAAAAAAATTAGGTGATTAAAACTTTTCAAAAAAGTAGTGAATGTGTCCTTTTTTGAGAATACATTTATCCAAAAGCTCAATTCCTTCCTCAGAAATTACCCAATAAATTGTTCATTTTGAGGTAATTAACTAATTAATTACCTGAGTTGATCCGGTGAAGTCTATTTAAATATAGCTTGGTTTGATTTGATCTAGTCTGAACTTGTCTAGTAATATCTTGTCTAGTAAAACCAATCTAAGTAAAAACATATAATGATTTATATCAACAGTTTCACTTAGAGTAATAGGAAACTACTCCGTATCTAATACGTAGTAATGTATATGAGCAGTTTGAGGACTCTTGCATATAGTATTATAGTGTATTGATTTGATTATGGCTCCTTAGAAGAGGCCCTTCGATCATGACTTTATGTTGGTAACATTTCTCATCAAAGTCAAATATTGACAACAATTTCTTATTATGCCAATTCAATAGCCTTTCAACTATTCCTATTGATTGCTTCACATCTAACTGATCCTGTTGAGCAATTATTTCTGTGGCCCGGGCGGATGCAGTGAATTAGAATAATAGAATCTTGATGAATTTATACATATTATGATATCCTCACTGAGTGTTTTATTTGAATAATTGTTCAAATTTAACATCATTATCGCGTATTCATCTATAAAACTAATCAACATATTAATTTTTAAATCTATGCTTGATAAGGAGTATGACAGAGATTTATTTGGTTTGTCAGGCTTTTTCGTCGCTTTTATTAATTTCTCTGGCTATGCTTTTTTATTTTACTTTTTACGGGTCAGGTCTGGCCCCCGTTCATAGTTGTTTGACTTTGTGTTAGTTTTTCTCAGAGGAATGCCTCTGCTGAGAGGTTTTGGTATAGTCCTCCTCTCATTTTGTATCTCCCGCTACTTTTAATAAAGTTTGGCAAGTGTCCCCCGGCATTTGCCCCTCAGGTAGTCAGGTGTGAGGTTTGCCTTCCGGGGTAAAAAAAAAAGGAGTATGATACTCCAGTAATATGTCCTAAAGGATAAAGATATACCGCTCTTGCTTTAAATGAAAGTGTTATGTGGCTCTGTTTATTTACACGAATTTTAACCACTAATATTTAGAAAATTTTAATTTCTTAATATCTACTCCGTATAATATATACAAACAGATAGACTAGTATATATTCATATAATCATATACCACATTTCTAAACCTGGCTAACTATTGGTCCCTACAAAATTCAGGTTACATTGACCGTTCTTCCCTTTCAACCCTTCCAACTTCCAAGTTCCAACCAAACCCAGAAGGCCAGAACCGAGCCAAATATACTTCAAAGTTATTTGCAAAACTTGCAAATAAAAGTTTCACTTCAACAAATACTCCAAACCCAAGTCCTCATGAAATTTTCCAATTCTAAGTATATTTGTTATATATGTAAATAATTATACATACGTAAGAGTACAGTTATTGTACCCATTCAACAAGGCAAGAAGCCAACAAGTAATCAACACACAAAAAGTACTCCATATTTGAATCTCAAGAAAATCGTCTTTACCACTTTCGAGTTTCTAATGTTACGTTTACTATGGTTACATGGAATGAATGATACTACTACAAGTTACAACTTTCATATCTAGAAATTCATTCTGAATTAATGAATGTAATGGCTATCTCATGCTTTACTGACAAATTGAAGAAAAAGAATTGCGTAGTATGGTGTACACAATTATACAACTGGATTGGTACAAGTGTACAGCAAAGGATTAACAATCAACATCAGTCAATTAGAAGCATGTTCTACAGTCCTGTAACTTTTTTACTCCATTCCTGAAATACAACGAATCCCCAACAAGCCATTAAAAATAACAAGAATGATAAGAAAACAATTATAACAGCACATCTTTCTTGGTTTCTTTTCCACTTATTATAACTTGCGAATTAAACTATTCAAATACAAATCATTACAACGGCCACATCAACATCCAAGCCTTATTTCCATAAGAGCCTACGGTCAGCTAACAAAAATTGCTTAAACATAGAAGATTTTTTATGAAGGATGCTTTGATTACTTCAAAACTTCGAAGCTAGATACCAGTAACTTAGTGAGACATGCATTTCTGAGACAAATGACTTGATCCTAATTTCTTATTGGCTTAAACTACATGGTTTATGTATGACCACTACTCATCCAGAGAGAATCTGCCAAAAAACTTTGAAGAGAAAAATGGTTTGATACTTAAAACAACCCTATTCTAGTCAGGGCAGTTACTCAATGAGATGAAAAAATCATTCCTGCATACTTGCTAAATATGTCAGCTATCCCTTATCTTCAAAAATTTCTAATTCACAAAACTATTGTATGAATTACATTTGGAAGTGAGAAGTTGATTTCTCACTTAAAGAAAAAAGAAAATCACAAGACATTCAAGAGGAAGATCATGTGTATGTAAAACAACTAAATTCGAGAAATTACATAAGAAACTAACTATAACACTTCAAAGACAATGCAGGGGTTAAGTACTACAGTGAGGGGCCAAAACTCTTGAGTCCCTATAAACGACCTAAATGTCATAGTTTATGTATTAGGGGAAGAATAACCTGTGACTTCATATGGAGCCGGCTTAGACACACAATTCTAGAATGAGTGAATGACTTGTACAATGTAACTCTATTAGCATTTCAACACTGGTAAACTTGTGTGCCATTGGCCAAAGCAAGGGCAAGGAGACATAAAGCATGAGCGCAAAGTTTAAACTGGCAATATAATTCACTAAGACTTGCCTGATGAGTGATTTACAAAAAAGAGTTAACACAGTTGCCAATCTTCTTTTGACAAGTCAAAGTATTCATTCTTTCCATCTTCAAACATTATCTGTTGACAACGACAAACGTTATATCTTTAGTCTAATTAAGTCTAGTGTCATACATACATGAACTAATGGAATCTTACCAAATGTTTTCTTGTTGTGCTATCATAGTGTTTTATAATTCCAAAAGACCTGAAACATAGCTCCCATTAGAAAGTAGATTGTAGCACCTTCACCATTGCACCTTTACAATCGACAATGCACACCTACACATCACTAAGAGCATCACTAATGCAACAATGTGCACAGTGCATATGTGGCATGAGAGAGATAGACACATAAAAATAAATAAATGACATTTATCTCTATCTCTCTCTTTCTACGGTTTTATATGTTTTCGGTAACTTTTTATCAACAATGTCACCACAATGTCTACATGTAGACACTTGTCTTGACATTGTGGAGAAAAGTTACCAAAAACATATATATTAATCAAATAAGGAGAGAGATAATTTACTTACTAATATTTATGTGTCTATCTCTCTCATGCCACATGTGCACAGTGCTCATGTGGCATTGGAGATGCTCTAAGGAACTAACCTAACTGCAATTTCTTGCTCTATAGATTATTCATATTTGAAGTACACTTGGAAAGTTAGAATACAATAAACGTTTTTTATTTTGTACAATGTGCCCCTATATGGAGAAGAAAGAAACACTTATTCTACAGATTCTTGTTGTATCCAAGTCTAAAAATGCCCCCCATTTGCAGACCATGTTCATTTTAGGGATGATGGGGACCTAATAAATTAGAAAGTGGAAAGTCAGACAAACCCATTATCTGAAGAGCGGCTTATTCTAATGACTTGGCCAATGCAGTTGGGTGAACTCCTTACTCTTTCAGCAGGATCATAAAATGAGCTTCCTGAGCATGGAAAGAATAGTGTCACACAGACTCCAAGTGAACAGTGAATGTAACATTATGTTGTAAAATGTGAACTGGAAAAAGTGAATAGAGAAAGACAAAAGCCGTTTTACCTGCTACACAACCACCATTTTGATAGGCCTTCCATGTAGAAAAAAGGAAAAAGAAAGGGCATTTAGCACAAATATTCTTGGGAAAAAGTCTATTTTTGTAAAGGATTACAAACATGTATGTAATATGCTATTAAGATCAACAAGCTAAATCTTGAAGTGAGCTTTAAAAAGTAGCTGGACGGGAAATGAGCAAGTGCAGCATGGAGAACGGTTCATATATCACTATATTAGTGATACCATATTTAATCATCCTATTGAAGAAAAACCCCGTGAGAGGAGATGGGGGCAGAGGGCAGCTCACACATTTTTTCTAATTGAGTATTTATTAAAGAAAAGAAGAACAATGGAAAGAAATAACTGGAAGGAAGATAACCATTTGGCCAAATGTTTCAATAATTTCATTACCACGGAAAACATTCAACAGAACTACTCTAAAACTCAGAAAGTTCAAAACTAACTGCTTTATTATGTCTTTTACAGCCAGTGAGTCTATGACCATGGCTATCGTAATTTTAACTCTCTTGGTAACAATAATCCTTAATACTCCGTAGTTAACAACTACCTCTCTTGCAGATAAAAGTGCTCTCACTTTGGGTGATGTAGCAGCCACCTGACAGGCTACTAAATGCAATGCAGCTTCTGAAGATGATATCTTTGTTTTAGTTGGTTTGACACCAAGTTTTTTTCGACAACCTACAGCTCCACAGTGGCAATCCTGATCTGCACCAAATTGTACAAACCTGCTACCCTTTTTAGACAAATATACAAGGATATGCTCAAGACATAAAGGTACCAACATGTAAAGTTCATCCAAAAAACTACTGTAAGTTCTAAAATTCATTAGGGGCCAGACTAAGCCTAGCCGCCGAGGATCCATAGGGGGTGCTGAGAGCCTGAGACATAACTATATAAGGTATAGCTAACCTATTATTGGCTTTTTTCATAGAAATAATGTTCTAATGTTTGTTAGGCACCACACTAAAGTGTATCCGCCTAAGATGGCCAAGTGGTTCTTAGGGATAAGGTAAATTTAACCTGAGGTTTTTCCTTGTTGATAAAACCTATGTGACAAACATTTAGTTTCAATATAAAGTACATAACATGTTACATAAATAGTACTTAGTATTAAATACTAATAAAAAACAATGCTTAAAATATAATCACATCACAACAATACAACATTCAAATTTATAACCAACAAAAGAGGATTCTATATGGGTTCATAGCATATGAGTAACTGAGATGCACATAGAAGGTAAAAAATATTCTACCCCAGGGGTTTGATTCTTTACTTCAACCGAGTGGCGATGGCTGAACTTACTCATATAATATTAAACCAATAGTATTACAAAAATCAGGGTAGGTGGACTAGGGCATCTAGGTGCTGACTGCTGAGTAATTGCCCCACCAATAGTGTGGGAAACTGGGGCCTTTTTTTCTTCGTGAATACAGAACCTAGGTGATTGTAAATCCTGAATTTTATAGCTCGGATAAAAATTGAAGTGAAAAATAATACAGAGTATAATTATATAAATCACCCATACTGATAATCGTAGGTTAGATGCTCGCCCCTTTTTATGTCACACGTTGCAAAAATGCCAATTCTTGTTTCTCCATCAACCGTCCTATAATACAACACCATGTAAAAATATTAAGAAAAGAAGATGAGAAGGTGAGTGTACCAGGCATGAATTACATAGCAAATAGCATACCATTTCTGCATCTCAGTATTTGGACAGCAACTATGATTAATGTATCTTGATTTGTTTCCCTTGTAAGTTGCATCAATGACTGTATCCCGGTTGATTTCACACAAGTAAAAATTAGTTTCCCCGCTATGCTTCATTTTCCAGAGTCTCTCCTCGCACGTCTTATCATCAATAACTGCACCAAATATTCTCTAGGTTTGTGAAAATACTATGAACAGAGTTCTAATAATGATTTCATCAAAACATACAAACTAAATCTCTTACCTTCCCCAACATATTCTATAATGAAGTCTTTACACTTAATATCTTCATCAGCCACAATACCTGAGCCGCATTTCTCTGTCTGCAAGTTGAATTGGAAAAGTTAGACAGTAATAAGGAAACATGTTTAGAAGGTTAATATCTGCAGATTCTTTAATATTTGTACAATAAGAAGCTCTATATCAGTATTGTTTTTTCTTTAATAGTACTTGTTTTTATTTTAGTTCGAGTAGGTATGGTTGTCATATTTGGATTTTGGGAGGACTCTTGATAGGCAGTGCTTCGGTTTCGATCGTTTTAGGCTTACAATTGCCCGTTTTGTGTCTAGCGAGTCAGGTTGCTATGTATGGGGTGGCTGACTCTTGTTTTGCATGTTTTCTTAATATTAATATAAGCCATTTATTAAAAAAAAATAGAGCAAAGCAAACTACAATAGTGATAGAATTTTACAAAACTGTTATTTCAATATGTTAAACATTATAAAGTCAAAGCCAAATTGAACAATTCTAGACTTTAACATACTACCAAAAATTATCCAAATACAATCATGTATGAACTACGAAGACACATTAGTGTGATACACAGTAAACTAACTTCCCAACACTATTCCTTTGTTAACTAATAAATGGATATAATATAAATGTTAAAGTGAATGTTTTTCTTCCTTATCCCTTTATATTTTTGTACCACCAGCAAATAGCTAGCCAGCTAGTGTTCAATTATATGTGCTTTTAGCTTTGAGCTTTAATGTGCTTAATTAAAGCAGGAGCGTGTGTTTGAAAACACTACTTTAACTTTAAGCCAAAAGTTGGAAAGCATTTCTTTTTAATTTCTTGCAAACACTCCCTTAGAAAGTGCCAATCTTGAATTGCAGAACTGAAGAAGTCCTACAATATTTTTAAATTCTTCGTGTTTTCGGTTGCTATCCATCCCTATATCCAAGAAGAAAATTTCAAGCCTTTGTTTGTTTTGTTTTACTCAACTTGAGCACACAATCAATCCCACTCCTAATAAGAATAAACAGAAAGGGTCCCTTGATCTTTGTGCAAGTACAGGTGACAAAAAAAAATAGGATATAAAGGATACAAAATAAAGATGCCATTAATCTAAGTTGCTTCTGATAACATGACTTTCTTCCCAGAAAACAAAAAATACCTTAACTATTCTCAGCTTCTTGGCAAGGCGTTGCTGGAAAGGTTTATTGAGGCATGATGAATTACATTTACATCCAGAGGAGCAGCAAGACATTAGCAAGCTGGTACAATAAAGTAAAGGAATAACAAGTCATAAACTAAAGGACAAAAGATAAAGTTTATATCTAATTATATGTACACACACATATATACATACACAAACACAAACACACACTGAGCAACTTAAATCTGCATTTGGAGAATCAGATAAAAACTCACCCTAGGAAATACAAGGTAAAGAATACAACTCTTCCTATAGCAATGCATCATCCTTTTCATGAAACTTGATGGATTAACAATTACAATACAACTCGTGCTAGAGTCCAACAACAACAACAACATCCAAGCCTTAATCCCAAAAGAATTCGGGGTCGGCTAACATGAATCAATCTATGATACCGATGCCAAACAGAGAAGACGGACAAGCAGGAAAAAAAGTAAGATAAAACGGATAAAATAAAGATAAATACATATAAGATAACAATACCATAAGAATATAAGATAAAGGATAGAAAGATAAAAGAGCATAAAAAAGCTAGAAGATAAAAATAACATTAGAATATAAAAAAATAAAGAAGATAAACGATAAAAGAGAAGAGAGGGGAAAGGTAGAAAAAGACATCAATCGTCCACACGGATGTGCGCCCTCCACTTTACTCTCTCCAAAGCCATATTCACATCCAACCTAAGAAGACGCATATAAGTTCTGATTCCTCTAATACAAGTCTATTTGGATCTTCCACTCCCTTTCCATCATTTTCAATAGAGCCAAAGACTCACTATTTTTTGGTTTGGGAATATGATGGAATAAAGCAAAATGGCCTACTAAACTGTCTGCTTTGTTATGAAGTAACAATCGCAATTTTCGACGCAATTTTCACTATGGGTCATTCGGAAACAGTCTCTCTGTGCTTCAGTACAGGGGTAAGACTTCGTACATTCGACCCCCTCCCCCTACCCACCGTAGGTGGAAGCCTTTGCGGCACTGGGGTAATGATGATGATGATAAAACACCTAACCCTGTCTCTAATAATCCTTAATGCTACAAATATCTAATCCAGAAGACAATTAGCAAGTCTCTCTGTGACATCAAAAGTGCCCAATAGCAATGGGGCAGGGAAGCAGCCTAGTGTTACAAGACTCTCTGTAGTGGAGAGCTTGGCTGTTGCAGACTGAAATTTGAATGGTCTGCACAAGATATATTTGGGTTTTTTTGTATTAAGAAGTTTCCCTGAATAGGCGGCAAAATGTTTGTGAATTCCAAAATAGGACTACTATGTTTTTATTCCCCAAGTATGAGCAATTATTGCCATGTTTTGGCATTATCGAGCTTTAAACATGGCAGTACTTCCAACTTCCAAGCTTGGCACTAAATACTCCTATTCAGAAAATAAAAACTGCTCTTTTTCTAAAATTCCAAAACATTTTTACACCTATTTCAGGAATTTTCCCTTTGGTTTTGATCAGTTTAAAGGGGCAAAGTAGGATTTTTTAAATAAAGAAGTAACAAAACTAAACCACTCATCCCGGGCTTAAAAAAATGTTGTTTCTTCTCTGGTTTTTTAACGACTACTGTCACAACACAGCCTTCAACTACATTCGTCTCCAACTTCTCTTCTACTTGTACGTTCAGCTATTCTGCTCCTCTAAGTCTCAGTTAGGAGCTTACAAAAAGCTTATAGGAGATATTCTTGACCTTGCTTGGCAGTGGAGTAGTTTGAAAGATTTAAAAGGGAAAAAGAGCACCATCTGTGATTTGGGATTTCAAGACTGGGTTTTATTGGTATATTAGGATTTATAAATATGATAAAAAGATTGGCACTGAGTTATACTATCATATTTTGGATGTCATGTATGAATTTAATGTAATTGACAAATTGTATGCATAAATATAATTATGTATTCTACATAAAAGGTGTATGAATAGAAGTCATATGACCAGACTACAAGAGGTATTAGTAGCGATATTGTGTCATTCAACAGAATTCCGGTTCAATTATTTCAATTTTTTTGTATCAATTAGATAAATTTATTTAAAATGCCTAACCAAATGACTTATCAAATTGGGGAGTATGTTATACAGTAAGTGTTCAATTAAATAGTTTAGGGTTTTCATGAGAATCAAAGCCATGGATCAAATGGCACATACTTTCATGCCTTTCAGAGAGTACTATCATGATTCATGCATCATACTTACAACAGACATTCAATTAATCGAATATTCAAATCTCACCTGCAGAGGCAATCCCTACCACAGACACCAGAAGATCCAGCTATAGAGTTGCAGGAACAAAAAATGCCATCATCTTCCAAACGCTTCTTAATCCTCTTGGTGCGATATACATCTTAATTAGTTAATGTATGAGCAACATGAAAGGCTTGGGAAAGCAATAGCCTATAGGTGGGAAACAGTCAACCATAAAGTGATAAAAACACATATTCACTTGAATATAATATAATGTACATGACATGTCACATGATTTTACAAACCATTTTCTAAACCAGAGAAAGACAAACTAGTTAATTGTAAATGGAAATTTGGGATATTACAGCTGTAACCACGTTGAAAAGGATACTGCGTCTTATATTGGTGTATGGCATAGGCTGCCACTTATTTAACCAGTCGGGAAGTTCAAAGTCAATAGGATCTCCAATTTTAGTAATCAATTTGCTGAATATGTGCTCAATACCATGATTAACAGCACACTGGAAAGAAGAAGGAAAAAGAACCCGTAAGATACAAAGGAGGCATTCATTAGGAACGTGTGAAAAATTCCAAGAAAAATGAGGTTAACAAATTTTCAAATATAAACAAAGATGATCAAAATAACTTCCCACTGGGGGTGAAGGTATACTAACTCAAAACCATTGAGGTTAGTGTGAGGTTATAAACACACAGACACACAAGCCAAACAAAAAAATTAATGGACTTTGTGTGTAAGCATCAGGAGTCTGCTTAAGAACTAAGAAGAAGTTCTTTTTATAAGTGACCCACATACCCCTGCCCTTTGAAGATTCTGGATGAAGTATCCATGTTTGACAGATGAGTGCCAAACTTTAAAATATTAGAATCTAGAATCAGGGACTTCATAAAATATCGAAACCTAAGATATTAAATATAAAAACCGGGGCTTAATGTACGAATTTGGCGATTTGTCACACACACATCCCTAAAGTGGTGAAGCCCCAGGGATGGGATTTTAAGTAAACGAAAAGCAAACATTATACTTTTCTATTTATAAAAGTATTATATAATCTATGTGATTCATTGAAAAAACTGGAATTCTATTCTAGTATATTGAACCTACATAAGCATGCATAGCCACAGTGACTTTATGCATACACCTGTTCAACAGCACATACTCAAATATAAATATCTAACTAGGAGACCAGATCATTCATGACACGACTTGAACCAACAATGTAGAAATGAGCATAACAAAGGGAACCAAACCACTTTCCTATTAGAGTTTAACTATATTAAAATCATTGAAGTTTTTACATTTAAAAGAATAATACTAGTTGTAATTCAAGATACTCCAAAGTCAATTGAACCAAGAAAACTTGCAATAGCATTACAACAGTTCGCACCATAAAAGTAAACAAACTGTTAGCATCTACCCTAAAACGTCAGGTCTTGCCAGGTAAAATAGAGGCAAATATAATTGTAAAAATTCAAATTAAAAACGAATGGAGCTCAGACACGCCAACCGTGAAGATAAATCTCGTGGCAAACACAACCCCACGAGCACAATGAAGTAGGGCATACCTCGGAGACGTGTAGGACAGTCCACTTGGTGTATGGTTGACTGGATACGAGGTCAAAGGCCTCGGACATGGCTGGGACACATAAGGAGAATAATAACAGGTTCAGGGGTGTTAGAAGAGCAATGTGTGGAGTTCAGGGTAAAGTGTTTTCAAACTGAGGCGAAATGCACTGTGCACAATCACAGTAAGGGATATGAGAACTGATTCGGTGGAGACGATGATGTCAGGGTGCTGCTCGCTGCTCGCTAAGGTCTGGGAGTCGATGAAGTAGGATATACAGACTTGTGTGAATCCGGGAACGATGGGGTAGTTGCAACGAGAGGGAAATGGAGACGACCCACAAGATGCGGCTGTTAGATCTTTCCGGGGACTAGGGTTCTTGTTTTTCTTTACATTTCTTTCATTTTCTGTTATCTTTCCCACTACCAGTCCATCTCCCCATATTATCGAGGAAAGTCAAAGTAGGGACCATGCTCGTGTTTTTAAAATCGTGCTAAATGGTCAAATAGGTTTTCTATCGATTACTAGTTTTTGTAACACGTCATGCGCGATTGGGATAATGCCCAATATATTTTATACAACATAAATCATAGTTATACGTTCATAATCCATATGGTATCTACAAGAAGATAAAAAATGATGAAAATAAAAAAAATCTATTAACTTAGGGCCTCAAAGCCAAAAGGATGGATGTTAGTACAATACATTTAGTAAAACAATGCATAAATTGTAGTGAATTTGTAAATGAGGATATCCATTAGCAAGGAGCAAGATGTATAAGCATCAATGCACAATCATGGCCTTGTTGATGCATTTGAGCTGAAAAGAGATATGCTTGAAGAGTTGATTAAAATTTGAATATTGTGGATAAAAAAACTGAGGGAGTAAAAAGGGAAGAAGTTATATAGTTAATAGATAGTATGTTAGATCTACCAAAAGCAAAGGAGCTTTCAAATTCCATCCGAACACAAGAAGATATCGCTCCTGTGTATTTCAAAAGCCATAAGAAATAAAAATATTGCGATCGCCAAATAACTATCACTTGGGATCGAATTGGGGTAATTAGGAGTAATGGTCAAGATCTCCCGTTCATAGTAATCTCATACTTGTACGCATAGACATAACAATATACAAAGTTCCAGATCAAACTCGTGTCTCGATATTGACATTGCCATTTGACACTTATGCATCTATAATAAGAGAAATTAATAACCCTCTATCCTGTTAAGATTGTCTCATTTTACCTTTACGGGAAATCCTACTAAGATTGTCTCATACTAAATTTGATAAGTTTGTGTGGCTCTAAATCATTCCTAATTTATTCTTACTTTATCAATTCAATATCACCTACATAAACCGTGTCACCTCCTCTTGTCCCAATGTTAGTTAGACGGAGCTAGTACATATTAAAGTATGACCTCTGCATTTATGAATATTGTTATTATTTCTCAAATATTAATAACAACTTTATATTTATAATACAATAAAAATGAAAACAATAATAGTATTAAATAATAATAATAATAATAATAATAACCAAAATAACATTGATAATTATAATATTAATCGTAAATATAATAATATATAATGATCAATAATAATAATAATAACAACAATAATATTAATAATAATAATAATACAAATAAATCATGTCTGAATTTTTCTGATATAGGTGTGTGTCTTTTTCATCTGATATGATCTAAATCCTTATATTTGATCTGATCTAAATTTTGTGATCTGAAATGAATATAAATAAGAATAGACCATAAGCAATAAAAATAAGATGAACAGAACACCTCCTAATATAGAGAATTAGAGATGCAACCAAAACTTTGAGGCCACATGAGATGAATAACAAAGGAGTAGTTTTGAAGCAATCATAATAATAACCATAATAATATTGATAACAATAATATCGATAACCATAAAAGTATTTAAAATATTAATAATATTGGTAATAATAATAACAATAACAAAAACAATAACAATAACAACAACAATAATAAAAACAATAACTTGTGTTTTGAACTTTTCGAATTAGATGTTTATTTTTCTAGTTTAATATTTTTTTGAATCTTTCCGACCGGGTCTAAAATTTTCAGATATGATATAATATAATCAAAACGTTTCACAACCTGTATCAAAATTTTGTTGGGTATTGGTTATTTCATTCCCAAAAAGGCAAAAATTAACATAAAATTGATTTCTTTATCTTCTATCCAACGGATAAGATAAGTACATGAAAAGATTAAAATGAAAAATTAAACTCAAACATCAAATAGAATCAAATCAATCAATTCAAGTGCATGGAGTTAACTGAAATGTGAAGGCTACGTGAGACTAAAAGTTGGAAACTCAAGGGTTGAAGTTAACGGAGTTAAGGAGTAAAAATTGATTTAATGGTGAAGGGTACAATGAGTAAAACAAATTGTACAAGTGCATTATGCTTTAATGTTACACTAACATTTTTATCATTCCTAAAATACTCTAACCTTCATCGGTGTTTATAAGATTTTAGGGATAAAGTAACTTGTAATTGTCTTAATGTATAGTCTACTCTGAGATTAAACACAGGGGCAGACGTATGAATTAACTAATGGGAGCACATGCCCCAATGAACTCTAAACTTTTAATGTAAATATATGCAAATATATCTAATAAAATTGAGTCGATTTAATTTTGTTTAGTGACATTGTTAAAGTGATCGTGACTACAAAAAAAAACGTTTTTGATACTCCCTCCGTCCCGTTAAGATTGTTTCGTCTTTCCTTTTCAACCCTTCCCACTAAGCTTGTCTCATACCAAAATCGGTAAAGTTTGAGTGGTTCTAAAAAAAATTACTTCGTTCTTACGTTATCAATTTAATATCAATCACATAAACCTACTTTTCTTAATAATCACACATCATCCTCTTGTCCCAATGTCAGTAGGACGGAAGTAGTATCATTTAGTACTGATTATTGAAATTGATATTGATTTTGTCAGTTGCAATAGTTTCAGTCGAAATAGCGACACAATTTTTGAACGATTGACTAATGAAGTTGTGATAGAACATTTTCATAAATGAAAACTCGTAGAGAGGAGTTACAATAAAATGTAATATTCTGTATTTTGCTAATATTAGATTATTTCAACATTAGCTCTTTTCATGCACAATTTACGAAAAATCGCACATTCCATTCATAAAATCCAAGTAATAAAAACAATAAAAGAAATCCTTTTGTTTTTATGTTTTGTATGCCTCACTAACGAAAATGATAGAAATTTTTAGTACAACGTTTCAATCTATGCCCCACATAGATTAAATGTAAAATTCCAAATTAGGTGTAATTATTAAATGGAAATGAATAAACTATATATATAGAAGAGAATGAACAAAGTGCAATGAAGAGAGTCAAGAGACGACATGTACAAGATGCTGGATAATGGAGTTTTAACGGAGGTAACGAATGAGTAGCACTAAAAGTTTAAAGTACAATGGTCAGACCATATTGTACAACAATATGTTGCTTTGTGTTACACCAACACAATTTATATGTCAAAAATATCCTAACCTTCATTGGTGTTTATAAGTTTTTAAGATATTAGATTATTTCAACATTAGCTCTTTTCATGCACAATTTACGAAAAATCGCACATTCCATTCATAAAATCCAAGTAATAAAAACAATAAAAGAAATCCTTTTGTTTTTATGTTTTGTATGCCTCACTAACGAAAATGATAGAAATTTTTAGTACAACGTTTCAATCTATGCCCCACATAGATTAAATGTAAAATTCCAAATTAGGTGTAATTATTAAATGGAAATGAATAAACTATATATATAGAAGAGAATGAACAAAGTGCAATGAAGAGAGTCAAGAGACGACATGTACAAGATGCTGGATAATGGAGTTTTAACGGAGGTAACGAATGAGTAGCACTAAAAGTTTAAAGTACAATGGTCAGACCATATTGTACAACAATATGTTGCTTTGTGTTACACCAACACAATTTATATGTCAAAAATATCCTAACCTTCATTGGTGTTTATAAGTTTTTAAGATAAGATATAAGCTCAATTCAGTCTCTGAAGTAAAAAATGTTCAATTCACATCCCGAACCGGTTAAAAAATGTTCAAATTTCATTTTTTTAGGTTAAACAATCGATAAAAATGGTCCAATTTGGCAATTCGCGCCCCTACACTATTAGAAAGTGTCAAAATTGCAATAAATCAAAATAAATTCATAAACAATAAAATATTAAAAAAAAAAGACCGGTTGTTCCTGTAAAAAAAAAAAATTGGAATCATTTTTTGTCAGTTCAGGGTGTGAATTGAACTTTTTTTAGTTCAGGGAATGGATTGAGCTTACACGACCGGTACAATGGCCTATTTGACCATTTAGCCTAAACTCTTCAACAAAATTGAACTTTGTAAGTATTTTAAGTGATTTTGAGTTTTTTACTCTAAATCTGGTTCGAAAGTTGACGGTTGAAAATGGTCATTTTATGTATTTGTTTCTTATCTGAATATTGTGATATCAATTTAAGTTTCCTTCTTAAAAAAACAGTTTGGATTTGAATTATGAGGCAATCAAAATAAATAATGTTGGAGCTATTTATTTAACTGAATTACTTGAAAAATTTTATATAGAAGACTCTCTTGACTATTTTTTGTATAATACTTTCTTTGTTTATTAATAAAAATATATTTTCAATATAATGTGTGCACAATGCAACACATATTCAGCTAATTCAACCGCATCCTTCAGAATTTTATCATTTCCAGTACGCTCTAAATGAATTAATAAGTTTAGACTTTTGGCATTAACAATGCTAAAAGAAAAGTTATCGGTGCTGCTCTTCAACGAAATTCAGTCAATCTCGTTTATGATACCAAGCACGCTCTAAGAGCATCCGCAATGGGGTATCAATTGTTAAAAAATGAATTGCCACGTCACGTTGCGCTCAAATTGTCCTCCGCAATGGGAAAGTGTATTTTGGTTATCGTGCTGAGTTGGATTGGAAAATAGGGGACACTGTCGATCCGGCTTTCTAGTTTCAGCAAGGGCTTCTCATTGCCAACTCAGCAAAAAGAAATCGAAAATAATTTTAAGGAAAGCATTTAAGAAATACAGAGTATCAAACTCAAGTGCTTCATTTGACAAACAAACACAGCAGCGCTTCCCTTCGGGCAACGCAGTCACCGAGTCACGTAGCACTCCACTGCCGTAGTTAATGGGACAATCATCTCGCCGTCTGAAAGGTTCTCGTGATATGGCGGCACTCCTCGCCTAGGCGGTAGCGTGACCATCCCCGTTTTCTCTCCGACTATCTTCTTCTCCGGCTCGTTTTTTTTTTACCGGCAACGAGAAAAAGGCGATTTGATTATATTAATTAATGAAGAAAACATAGGTGTGCTGAAGATCACATCCATGGTGTTAGTCTTGCAAAAAAC